GCAACAGCACCACCAGGGGCAGTAATACACACACCTAGCTGTCCATCAGTACTGAAATCAAACAAAATATTAGACATTATTAATAGTTTAATYATCATTAATGGTGATTACAAATTATCAATGCAAACTTACGCTGGTCCTCTTGATGACCAGGTATATTGGTTACCAGGCAACTTTTCCAGTAATGAATACTCAGCAGCCATCATATCAGAAGAAACATATGCTCCAACACCTTTAAGAAAAAGAACAAGAATACTTTGTTTATTAATGATTATTGTAGTATTTGGAAAGCAATGCAGTTAATGTTGTGTAAGATAAAAGTAGAGATCAAAACAGAAGAGAGCAGAGTGGACAAAAACATAAAATAAATGCAATAAAGCAAAAATTCAACATGATTTTTAGTGTCAAGAATCAGAGCAGACTTGCAAAGTAGAAATGTTCAGTTACAAAGTAAGGGAAAAATAGCAAAGCAAAACAGAAAAATGTACCTAACTAAGCACAAAACAAAACAGATTACATTGAAGCACAGCAAGGCAGGGTACAATCATATCAGCAGGCAGAATGGACTAGAGCAACTTACAGGATGGAATAAATTAAAGTATTTAGTACATAGATATGGTACCTATAAGAGAGCTAGACATTCCACCAGGAGCACCAACAGTGGACAAACCAGGACCATTGTTTCCAGCACTTGTTACAAAGATTACTCCATGGTCATTGACAATTTGATTCATCATGTTAATCACTCGACTGTAAATTCAAATACATTATTCATCAGTGTCATGGTGATGATCATTCTGATAAGATGATGTCTTGGTACAGGGAATAGTTACCCAGCATTAGGCCACCTTGCTGATTCACCATAACTCATGTTTATAAGATCACACTTGTGTTCCAGTGTAGCAATTAACTGAAAAATTAAAAAAGAATGCAAATATTTTCGCCAAACATTGGACAGACATATTTTGTGCTCAGTCTTATTTAAGCAAATTTTCTACTATCCTCACCCCTCTGATCATTGATGAACCGGTTTCCATGGTATCCAGTCTTGAGTCACCTATTTTTACAGAAACAATCTGCAGAATACAAATGTATTAAAATGCAAGGCAATGAAGAAGAAAATGTAGAATTCATTTATATAGAAAATCTTTTGTCTTGATAACAAGATTAATATTAATTAATAATGATGGATGATTTCTTGTTAATAGTTGGATTGATAGGAAATAAAGAAAGGTTAACAATTGATATTGAATACAACAACAACTATAGCTTCTCATCACCTGTGCCCCAGGAGCTATTCCAGTCAGGGAGGGGTCATCATCAGAAAAACCTGCAGCAATGCTTGCAACATGAGTTCCATGTGTCCCTGGATAATAAAGAAAAAAACAAAACAAATGATCTTATGAATGCCTAAAATACATACATCACAAGAAAAAATATAAGGATTTCCTATAAACATAAAAAAATCACATCCCTACAGTATACATGGGGATTGTTTTATAACTGTTGGCAAATAGAAGTTTTACACTGACATGAAAATCACTACATCTCAATATTGATTATTTCTAGCAGTAAATTTGACTCCTTCCAAGATGACYTCCCACGAGATTACCTCCACTGGTGACAATACTTAATATTTTGCCTTCTTCAAACACAGTGATGCTGTAATTGAGCAAATCTACAAAAAAATAAACAAATAATAATAATAAAAACACACATTGTAACTACCAGAATAGGGACATTAGTTCATTCTATGGTCAAAGACAATTTTGGTTTCCAATAATAAAGATTTAAATACTTTGAATACATGTACCTTCTTTTCCAAAAGTTGAAAATTGTCCAGATTCCTTATAGTTTGAAAGAAGAGTGCAACTACTTAAGTCCCCAGTCTCAGATGTATCAATGCAGGCTCTGTTTCAACACATTGAAAATTACATGTAGAAACAAGTGAAACACACTCCTTATTAGTATTTTTTATATAAAGAATATTAATAAGGGTGACCTTTATCAGATATAAAGGTCCATGACCCTAGCAAAGGTCTCAGGTTTGTAACCTGATCATTGACCAATGCAGGATGTCAACCGATTTCAGTGAACAGCCAAGAGCGGTTCTATTTTACTTTATGCGTATTCAATGTGGGATGACAAGAGTGCTTTGTAAAGTGATTCGCGCATGATCAGTTTGCCCCATTTATCTCTGAACACATTTGTACGGCAATTTCTCCAAGAATTTTAACGGATTTGAGTTTCAAATTAGTGTTGGAGTTTTTTAAGCCGTTTAAAACACTTGAGATCATGTTTTATCAGGTATAAAGATTCGAGCGGAACGTGTTTTAAACTATACATATAGATTCATTATCAATTTGTTGAAAGAAAAACATCAAGGCATACCTCCATGTTGTACCATCATGAAATACAATACAGTCCAAGGCAGGACCACAATCCGAGAACTTCTTTTCAAGTGTGTTCAGTACTTCAACTTTAGACTGCAGTTCCTCTGAAGTCCATTTTTCCTCCTGATATATAAGCAAAGATTCTACATATGTATACAGAGTCTACATATAGACAATGTYAACTGTTTACTAAAATACACGTAGTAACCTAATAATAGCACCTACCTACATTGTGCTACATGTAATTATCTATTTATTGCTGCTCTATCACTATTCTACCTGTGAACACCAATGTCTGCTAATTTTCTTCTTTGACATCTAGAATCATTGAAGTCATCTATTATAATCTAAGAACTTCAACAAGACAATGTTGACAGGGCTAATTATTGTTTGCTCATTTAATTAAATAACCGATTGACTAAATGAGGGAATGATTAATCTATAAATTGACTGACTGACTGACTGACTGACTGACTGACTGACTGACTGACTGACTGACTGATTGACTGACTGATTGATTGATTGAATGATTGATATTACCTGTGATTGGTTTGGCGTACTGTTTGGATGGGAGCTGTTCCAATCTTCAAGTTCCCTTAATGCATTGGCACTTTGCCTCTTGTGGTGGATATCCCATAATTTCTCTTTTCTTTGTTTCTAAAACCATTAACATTAGTTTTACATTGTGACAGTACATGACAAACAGCAGTAGTTCTGAGCCAAAATTCTTACTTGTATTCTTGATTTAAGTTTGTTTGGAAAAAGACTGAAAAGGTTTTTTATACCAATGTGATATTTTCCAGTAGGGTTCTGCCAATCTTCTGGAATCTGTGCAATCAAGATGTATGTTAATATAGAACCCAAATCATATGAATTAATGTTTTTTTCATGTARATGCCAAGTTTTCACATACAGTTATGTTCCATGGATGATGTGCACTTTCCAAAATCATTACACACTAAATTTTAAAGTTAGCTTCTCATTCTTATTGTTGTTGTTATTTTTACAACAAGTGTTATGACATATATTTTTTAGCTCARGATCCTCTTTTTTAAACCAAGATTTTACACCTTGAGTTTTCGGCCAGACAGTCCAGTAATCAACCCATCCTGAGCTTCACAGACTGTTGATGTGTCTACATCACCACTCCCAGAAGTGTCAATCAAGTCTACAATTTTACGACGACCATCTGAAGTTTGCTGTAAAAAGGATTATAGAAGTCACAATAAGGAATATATTAATTGACATGTCAAGATTTAAGGGACAATCCAATTTATCCTTACTGCACATCGTTTTCATGCACATCGCTGGTATAATAAGCTGTCATATACTTTAAATTTGTCAGCTTCTCGATTCAGGATTATTCCTTTCTACACGACGGTTTGCTARATGTATTGGAAATAATTCGGGACAGTTTAATGTGATGCAAAATAAGCATCAGGCGTCAATACAGCTTACTTAGCAACCGACATACAAGAGAAAAATCTTGAATTATTGTCAGATGTAAAATCCTTTTCAATAAAAGAAGTTCGAACAATTAAACAAGGAATTTTAACACGTAATATTCAGTTATTTATTTTTCCGCTAGACGCTTTAAAAGACCGGTCAGAAAGGTTTCSAAAGTTAAAAGTAAGGTGCCGGTATCACAGTTTTTTCTCTGACTTCGATCTTATTGCGTACCTGCAAACCTGGTGCTCCGGGATCAATGCCAGTGTCAAAAATAGCAATAACAACTCRGCGTCCATCATATTCTGGATACTTAGCAAGAAAACGATCAGAGCCCGTTTCTCTTTTAGGTAACAAAGCGTGAACTGGAAAATCTTCTATAGTCGCCGCCATTTTGAAGTTCGAGAGAAGAAAGAGACTGGGTTGAGTACATGCCTCGTTTTCAAACTTGCTATATTATTTTTGGTTTCTTGGAGTAAATATTTGTGTTTTTCGATGTAAATTTGTTTCATTTGCTGGTGCTTAGTTCTATTAAGTTATTTTATTCGTACTGTAGTTAAAGTAAAAAAATTCAAAGTATTTGTTATTCAAAGTAGTTACTAGACCATCATATTGAGTGTTTTGTTCTGCTTTGGCGTGGAACGCCTGTTGTAAAACATTGGCTGAGTCATGGCGGACCAAGCAATTATCAAACAAGTTTGCATCATTCCTAGCTCTTTACATTAAGCCACGTATGCTTTCACTTTTATTATAAATACARAGCAATTTTCAACGTTCCAAGTTAGTTTATTCAGCAATCCTGCCGARAATTGTGGCTTGCAATCAAGTACAGTAGCACTTCAAACATTTTGAAATGCGTCAAAGGCGAAATCGTGGCGGAAGTTTGGGTTTATTTCTTCTTTTTGCCCAACTTTATAACTTTGGATTCAATCGTATTCCACCAGTGACTTTATCATTTATTGCTGGTAACGTTGCAGTGTATCTAAGGTTACTTAAACGTATTCCAAGATTAGGACAAGCCTGTGTTAGTGCCCACTATGTTTGGTATAACGGCGACTGGCTTCGACTTGTTCTTTCATCATTCTACCATCTAGATGACTGGCACCTRTACTACAACATGGCCTCGTTTTTATGGAAAGGAAAGTCTCTTGAAACAAGTATGGGAAGCAAGAGGTTCTTTTTAGTGCTGAGTGCMTTCAGTGTTCTRACAAGTTCTGTTCTGGTTGGGCTTGATATGGCGTTAGCACATTTTCTAGARGATCCATCGTACATTTACTCCTGCGCTGCTGGGTTTTCTGGTGTCATATTTGCTCTAAAGGTTCTWACTACTTATGAACTGCCACATGGGGTTTCCATGGTGATGGGGATATTCCCTGTACCAATGAGGTATGCATGTTGGGCAGAGTTGGTCCTCATTCAACTGATTGTTCCCAATGCMTCATTCACTGGTCATTTGGCTGGTATACTTGTTGGWSTTATGTARGTCAAGGGACCTTTGAAATCAATCTTGAATGGCATAGGGAATATAGGTAAATGTCTAGGGACTGCCTAGTAGTACCKCAACATAAAATTGATATTCAGCCATTTTCTCATCCATTCATTTGTATATTTTAAGTACAGWGGAAACTGTAATAACAAATGATATAATAACAATTACACATATTTATATTTTTCAAGCTTTTGGTAGCCGAGGAGCTAGAAGATCTGCTGGTCCCTCTTATACCTACCATGCCTCGGCAACTGGTAAGGGGATGTATTTTAGTATAAATGCCTTTACCTTTTTTATTAAAAAAAAACTAGTAAACTTTTTGAGATGGCTTTTTATAAATACTGTTGGTCTTCATTAAATCGAGACCCTCAAAGCAGCTTGATTTCATTGATTCAATGGAAGTTCATTATATTTTCATGTTCACATAATTATTGTTCTTCCAGGCTCAAGATACACTTCTCAACAGACTCAAAGACAAAATGACGATGATGAAGAACTTCAAGCTGCAATCAGAGCAAGTCTTCAAGAAACTCATCATTACCCACCTCCTCAACAAAACCCTCCATACCCCCATCACAATAATTRACCATATCCTAGTCATAATGGTGAAAATGATCCTGTATTCCAGTCTGCAATAGCTGAGAGCCTAAGAAGACAAAACSCAAGGCCTTCTGCCTCACCTGGAGAAAACTTTGAACCTCCTCCATCATACACTGAAGCTACAAGTGAAAGACTTTACCCTAGCATACCAAGGGGTGCTGAAAGTTCCATACCTAGTGCCCCCCCTCCATATAATACCCCTGTTAATCCACCATARCCTCTACATAACTCTATGCCAACTCCTGAGGACATGAGGCAAAGAAGGCTTAGACGTTTCCAYCCTCTTTAAAGTAAAATCTTTATAAGAACAGATAGTTTTTCCAAGCAAAAAGTAAGAGCTGATCAGTGGACGATATCTGGTCAAATTTTCATCTTCTACAATCTTTGCATGGTCATCTACTGTTATTTATTTGGTCATTTATGACTTCTGTGATCTCAGTTTGTAGCTTTAGATAATTAGCTTTACAGTGTATATAGAGCGGATTTCGTATGACTGGGACACCGTTACCGCACGGTTACCGCACAGTTACCGCACCTGGCCTGCAGAATTTTGGTGAAACAATGGGGCACTAGAATTTGGTTACAGTACGATTACGGTCACAGTACAGTACCGTCCGTTTCCCACTCATACGAAATCCGCTCTATATACTATAGTAATTTACAGTGTATTATATTAAGTATTTTATATTAAATTTTATAATGAATGAATTTGTTAATGAATTTCCAGTGGCAGATCTAGAACATTACAAAAGGGCATAACTAAACTCAAGAGAAATYTTTGATGGATAGCTTTAGGCCTACTGAAAATGAAATTTCTTAGTTAAGGTMAGCACTCATCTACAATTKCARTATTTCAGAACGAGCCSCATTCAGTATTTATATCTTTTTCRTTATCATTTCTACTTCTATATTTTTTGTATGACTTTTGACAATCAWATTGTTGATTCTATGGCACCTTATTGCTATAGCCCTTTTCTTCTAGGATCTGCCCCAGGAATACTGGTAAGCAATCATCAGAAATACTATGTAAATAATCAGATATTATTTTAATTAGTATTGTCACGCTCAGCACCAGGTAGATCATACCAACCGCCGTACCTTGTGCGCTCGTATTATTGTTTACGTACGTTTAAATGCGTCAAGCATACAATAGATTATAGATTAATAGTACCTGTGAGGTACTTAGCTCAAGGTATTTCTTTCCAAACTGAAAGGACGGAAGACGATTCGCGCTAAATTTAAGAAATCCTACGAATCCGCCATTTTCATGTCCACCTAAAATGGCGCTTCGGCTCGCAAGGTACGGCGGTTGGTTATGATTCTTTAAAGTATCATTATTATTATCATTAAAAATGAATATAGCGTCATGACTTGTAAGTAGCCAATCTATATTCTGTTAAATGGAAAGTTTCTTGTAGTAACTAGGGGTGCGGTTGGTGTATGCGCTAGTGAGAAAATCTCAAATGTTAACAAACCCATCTTGTTCAATTAGTGGTTTTGTACCACTTAGTTTTAGTACTCGATTTGCCTAAAATCCTTATGAGCGCTTCAAAATGACTCCACGTGCCAAAATGATCATTGAAAATTAATGACAACTTATTTCATGACTAGAGAGTTCTATCGGCACAGGGACGTGGGAAGAAATTCTCTTCCCACGTCCCTGATCGGCATAAGTTGATAAAGATTGTTGCTGTATCATTTGTTCTGAATAATAGTTAATATTATTAACTATGTCTGAACCCATGTCAGATGGGCAATTAGCATATAGAGAGGTCTTTTGAAAGGTATACCAGCTGATACTTGCCTGCGTCATTACTTGGCACCGCAGTCCATATCAATTAATAATACAGCCATTCTTTCGCGCGTTTTATGATGGCTCAAAAATTCGCTTTATTCAAGTCATTGGGAAACGTACGCCACTAAAGGCGTGAGGCRTACTAAATTATATAAGCAATTAAGAACGGTTGTTTGTCTAAAAGTATGAAGTGTTGTTATGATCAAAGTTTTTTTACATGTAAATGCTTTCTTCGTGTTCTCTGGGTTCCCCGCGTGGTTTTGCCAATAAACTATTACTTWCAATCACCTTTTTTGCTTATGAAGGTTGAGGGATCAAAAGTTATTAATTAAACCTCACAAGTAAAGAAGACAGTTTTATGAATGCCGAGAAAATCAAAATAAAAGGTTTCAATTACTTAGTCATAATTTGAATCTTTAAAAGATTTCCGATAAAAACGACCTCATGTCACCTTCGTTCTAGAATTCATGCAGCTTCAATAAATTCTTACCCTGCCTCTTACGTGATAATCATTATAAGATCACATTAAAAAGCTGAAGGAGTTCGCGGTATGAGTGAGCATGCCTATAGCGACTCCCAGGGAGGGGAWAGGAAAAGTCCAGTAGGAGGGGTCTCTTCAAGAGAAAAGCACGCCCTTGCCAATTACCAGATACTCATAATTATAAATATCAAAATAAAGTTCAGTTATGGTTGATTATTTTTYATATTATTATCATAATAATATCAATAGCTATTATTTATCTTATCAGCTCTATCATTCGCAATAGAAGACATTATTTTCTTGATATGTAAACAAGTCTTATCATCAATCACCTGCTTTATATCACTGAACTACAACATACATACCAACCATGACGAACCACAGCACGCCCTCTCTTGTTTTTAACCATACCGAATCTAAATTGTGCACACTAAAAGATAGACTTCCGCGAACACGCGTCTTGAATTGCAACGAAAAACAAAACACAAAAAAAAGTTTTATTTCATAAAAAATACCTTGATGAGTGAGTTTGCTATGTCTCAGTCACTCATTCAATGTATTAGCATGTTAAATTAAAATACCCATTAGCGTGATTTCCAGCAGAGGAAAGCAAAAATAGTATATAATTAGAACATTGTCTTATTTTTTGAAATCAAGAAGTGATTTCGATTTGCAGTCTACAATGTGGTCTGTTATGGCTCACTGCTGTGCTAAAAAGACAGGTCTAAAGTAAAAGCACTTGAATAGTTATGAAAGGACAGTCTGGAATCATTGTATTTGCGTCAAAATTTGCGTTTTATAGTTGCAGCATAAGCAGACAATGCCTCCTACCGATTTGTTTAAGAAATGTTTTCATCAAAAGATTAAAGACGTAGCTCCGGCAACAACATGAATCCGCCTGTTGGGATTTTATTTTCTAAGGAACACTGTGGAAAAACGAAAGAAAGCAGTTATTTTGCTACATACTTTTTTCTGTTGTTATTTATGAGTTGTTTTATTGCTGAACTGAAGCAAAGAAAAAACTATTCGACGTTCAATTTAATKTCATTAAAAACATAAAGAAATATTTACTGCTTTCCTTTCGACTCCATACCACATAATTGAAACAGTTTTCAAATCATGACAAGCTTTAAAGAAATTGAAAAATAGATTGAAACCCAAACAAATTTTGGATTTCCTGTATGTCCTGTAAGATGCTTAATGYCAGAAAGGTTTGCTGATTGAAAGGCTTCGCGCTTTTCAGTCAAAATCTGTGTTTATCTGATTCTATRTATCTATCTTTTTAGTATTTTAAGCGCGTGCACAAGACTCCAGAGGTCAGTTCTCATATTTCTTGGATTTTCATCCTTAAATTGCGCCCTGACAGTGCGGACTCCGGGAACAAAAGGCGGACGATATCAGAATGTACYGCGTTTTCTTTTGTAGAAAGTACAATGGATGAAAACAAGAAGTCATTCACTAAAAACTTCAATAAATCACTGTTAAAATTTCAATTCAAATGACGATGAAAAGACATTGTCATTTAATATTTAAATTGCAGTGGTATAAATAATAGGAAACATCTGATGATCTAGTCACCAGCAAAAACAACCAATCTTCTTTCTTTACTCCTGCCTCATATATGATATTGTACAATTCAAACTTTTATTTTTAATTATTTACAATCGAGTGTTTTGGTCATCCACAGCACATTTGAATAACCCCATCCTTTTGTTCTTTTTCTTCTTTGTGAACTTGATGCAAATGAACGAGTAAAAATAAATTCATTTTTTTTTGTCGTCTCAGTTTGTGGTAAAAAAGATTATAGCTGTTGTCGCTTGGTAATATGCAAAATAGCAAAATTTTGGTACTAAAATTTGATTTAGGTGTAAGTAATCTCGATAAAAATATCAAAATGGCTGTCTACCCTCAGGAATGTAAAGTCAGAAGACAGATGGGCATTAAAATTCTTGAGAATAAAATTCTAAAAGAAAGTAAATTGAAAGATAACAAAAATACATAACAACATTGAAAATGAATAATTCAGAGCAACTATTGGGACAACGTGTATTTGGTCTAGCAGTCGCTACTTACGAACCTGAAAAAATAAGGATTCAAAAGGAAAAAAGTTGTGGCTCAAAAGACAAGAGTACCCGTATGTCAAAATTATGTTTCATGTCAGAGTAAAGCACTTGGACGGCAATGAAATTTTAATGACTTTGAGACTTATTCGTACCGGCTAATCGAAGCAGGTTCATTTGTTTTGAATTCAACTGGCGAACGCCGGTAGTATAAGAGCAGCGACAGAGAGATTTGAAACGATTCGCCCGACCCAAGTCATTTTACCTTCAACTTATCCAGGATGTTTATACAGAATTGACAGGTCGATAACAAACGCAAATGAACCACGGACAGCGATATGCAACTTGAAAAGAAGATATAAGAAGAATGAATTTAAAACGCGAACCTGTATTTCCAGTGATTTTTGACGATCGTATAGTAATCAACGTGAGTGGACAGATTTTCGAAACTCGTGAAGAAACACTTGCACGTTTTCCAAACTCTCTACTGGGAAGCCATGGTAAGCGACATAACTACTACATTCCAGAATTCAACGAATACTTCTTCAATCGAAACCGTACTGCATTTGAAGCAATTCTTTATTATTATCAATCTCATGGGAAACTAAGAAGACCTAACGAAGTCCCTATCAAAGTATTTAAGCAAGAAATTGAATTTTTTGAACTTGGGGACGATATACTGCATGCTATGTTAGTAAGTGAGGGTTATATCGAGGAAACCAGACCTGTATTTCCGACCAATACGCTTCAGAGGAAAATGTGGGAGCTTTTTGAGCATCCTGATTCGTCACCATTTGCAAGTACGATCGTGGTTTTTTCGATTCTGATGATAATAGCGGCTGTGTTGACTTCTATCGCCGAGTCGAGCGTTAAACACGACTATTTAGTTCAATCAACATTACTAAATACCAGTACAAAAACATCGCGTTCTGTCAATGATCCTTGGTTTGTATTGGAAATCATATTTAATACATGGTTTAGCTTTGAGTTCGCGGTACGCTTTGTCGCCTCTCCACGAAAGTGGCAATTTTTGACAAGCATTCTCAATGTTGTGGATCTAATCGCCATTTTACCTTTTTACATAACCCTTGCTCTTGATAGTTCCAAAAACAATTCAGTTACTGTACTAAGGGTACTGAGAATCATACGTGTTTTTCGTATGTTTAAACTTTCTCGCTATTCAAGAAGTCTTCAAGTTATTGGATATTGTGTAAAAGAGAGTATTCGGGAACTAGGACTTCTGATTCTTTGTCTGTTTTTAACTGTCGTTGTAACATCGAGTTTGCTGTACTACGCAGAACTTGGACATGCGAGGACATACTTTACAAGCGTTCCGGAAACATTTTGGTTCTCACTACAAACAATTACTACAATTGGGTATGGAGATATGGTGCCCTTAACGCCTCTCGGAAAACTTCTATCGGCCGTGTGCGCCATTTTTGGCGCCATTACACTAGCCTTGCCCGTACTAACTTTTGTCTCGAATTTTAATAAACTGTACTATAGAAATATGGAAGAAAGCATTAGCTTTCAAAAGCCTAGTGACGAAAAACGCCCAAGTTTAGAAACCGAATCAGTGGTTATTTCCAACTTTGAAACTTCAAAATCAAATAATTGAGGCCTTGGCACTGATCATTAATATTTATATATCGAAGTGCAAATATTAAAAATGGCTTTTTGCTTGTGTTATTTTGATGAAATTATGACGAGAGTCCATATTGTTGATATAACAGTGAATTTTAAATGGAAAAACAAAGTAGGTGAGCACCACAAGGAGCCATTCAAATAAACGAAAATAAATCAAATTAGCATGACCTAACATGGCACTTGAACTTAACACGCACCCTGCTAAAAGTACCAATTATCAGCTAAATCGCTTAAAAATAAGACAAATTTCTTATCTTATACCTTAGATTTTAGTTTATATAGCGTTTATTCGCCAGCCTGTAGATTTTAACGGGAAAATAAGTTGCCAGACTGTGGTATATTCTAAAATAAGCGAAAAAGATAGAGTTGGATCAAAACCTGYATACGAAACAATAACAACGGGGTTTATTACAGAAGCATAGCAGGTGAGTTAAGACTCGGTTCATACATGTATTAATAACAGTTAGTATGCATCAGTAACGTAGTTATATTTTCGGAAAACCGCGGCTTTACACCTCTCGGAAAGGGTTTTTTATTTTTTATTTTTTGCCTTACTTCCTTTTTGTGTCAGGACATTGATAAAGGGGGGATTAAGGGGGAAAAGGTGATCACTTACATCATATTTACATCAAATTRACAACCTTTGGAAGTGCGCGATTTTTTCCAGTGATGACATTGACTGCACGCTGGATTGTATGGATTGTACTGTAGCTACTAGTATATCAATATAACGCAAAACATTCTGCTGGATTGTACGAATTAAACGTGTTGATGAATTGTACAAATCGTACACAATGCTGGATTGTACGGATTGAACTGCTGCAGCTACTATCAATATATTCTGATAAGTATATCTAGTATAATAGCAAACAGAAAATGTCCTTAAAACAGTTCCCCAAGCCGTTTTTGCTTTGTCTTTTCAAAAATAGAAGTAGTTGTGTTGCATGCTACGAGAGAAAAAAAACATAAAAATGGCTTTTAGGGAGACTTTCTTGGGGCTATTACCCGTTTTAAATCATTTCCATTTTATTCAAAAGACAAAAGACCGTAGGCCATGTTGGTTGAATGACCAATAAATACTAATAAAATAATTATTTGTTGTTAAAGTTCAACCAAGATGGCCTCTGTGACGTATATTGCAAACGAAAAGTGTGAGGACTACAATTCCCATCATGCTTTGTTGCACAAAATGGCGTCGCTGCACAACATCCATTGTTAGTTTTAACCCCTAGTGAGTACAGTAATTAAGCAATAAYCAACACATTTCCGTGCGTTCCTGGTGAAATAAACCACGCGGGATCTTGGGAGAACACGAAAATTCGCACCCGTGCGTTTAGCGGTGAAATACACAATAACATTTGATCAATCAYAGAGCGCGTACTATGATAGCTAGAATATAAAAGAAAATTGACGTTAACCACAGGACGTGGTACTGGATTTCCAGTACCTAATCGACAGTAGAAACCTAGCGTTCTTCCTAATAGATTAACATATAGACTCTTAATGGCTTGAATAAACGGCCTGCATGCAGGCCTTTGCAGTTCTGATGTGATTTTRCCTCGACGTCAAATTCAAAGAAAGGATTATATACCAGGAGACATTTTTGAAGACGAGTGCTCCAGTCGACTTACGTTATTATTAGCAAAGGTGTCGACTTTCTTAGACATGTCATAATTCGTTGCGCGGGAGTATACGTTATAGATCCCACTGATTACTCAGTGAAATATTTCCTCCCCAATCCCCGGGATTACCCGGGATTTTTTATAACGTGGCATAGTCGGGGATCTTACCTTCTTCAAATTACAATAATCTACTATAGTGTCTTGGGGGCTTGYGAGGCAACATGCAACTAAATGAAAACAGTGCTTTAGTAAAGAGGTTATTTGTCTTTATGAGCTGAAGAAGTTATTTTAATTACACAGTGTAACTCTTAATTTTCCCCTTTTTTGAATCACACTATTTTTTTTGATGACAAATACTGAAATAGGCGAAACATACGTTATTTTACTGATCTATTTTGGGATTGTTCTCAATTACTACARATATATATTGTGCTGACCCAGTCACGTCCGAGTACAAGAACCAAACGATACTGATATTACCGAACACGCATCAGAAAACAGCTAAAGAACGCACACTTGGACACAGTAAGCGTTAATTGATAACAACGCCAACGTTTTGTAAACGACAGTTGTCCAACATAGGACGTGGAAAGATCAGCTGCTTCTTCCACATAGAATMCACCATATGGGTARCCACAGATATGCACCATAAACACGCACTGACTGTGTACCCYCAGATATTCACTGAGAGTCTGACTGGTCGAACCTTTCTGCACTTCCCGTGAGTCAGCTTGAAAGCACAACATGAACAGCGAAAGAACGATGATCATGTCAGAATTCTCTGCATGACTGAACGTCTGGAACGCGTATGTAGACTTAATGTGTACGATTCTCAACATGAACTGTGAAAACACAACAAGAAAACACTGGTAGTCTAGGCGGTTCACAAGAGTTCCTTTGTCAGACTGGCATGCCGATAACTACAGCGCAGCTTGACTGATAATTTTATACCAGCGCCTGGCTGAAATATCGACATGAGAACGGAAGAAAATAATGACCATCTCTGCTTGACTGTGTTGACTAAAAGCTTTTCTCTCTGCTTGACTGTGTTGACTAAAAGCTTTTCRCTTKTTGGTGAGGTTTCTTGAAAGTTCTCTGCACGACAGTCGAGTAAAAGTCAAATGCAGCACTGCTTGAATCTTCACATGAGAGCTGCTAAACTTAGGTTTTGAGACTGAAAGTCCACCCTAATAGACTCGGCCATCTTGGCAAGTTATTCACATTACTAATATCTATATCGTGCTTCCATTTGTAATGTGAAAACACGATGTCCTCATAAAACAACCAGCCGCGCCATTTACATCTGCCATAATCATCGCAACCGTTTCAGTCTAATGCAAACAAGAATACTGAATAAGACTGATAATTTAACAGTAGCGGATCCTGCAGGTCGTTGCAAAGGMTGCCAAGACGGCAAGAAAAGAACAGTGAATAGATTAATGACTGCTTGAAAATGTCTTTCAGATGAAGTCTCATTAGTCTCATTTCCTTTTTGAGTCCCATTCAGGTTTAATTTCTTTTTTTATTTAATTTCTATTTTTATATTTTTGAGCCCTAAAAATGGGCTYGACTAATTACCTAAKCCCRTCCAGGATCTACCCTTTTTGTAAGATTCAAAGTGTAATTCTYCGAAACATTTTTTGTCAGAGAAGWAAAACTTTCACAGTCAAATCAAAGTCACAAAATCATATCAAATGAATGGAATGTCAGTTAATAAAATCTGAAGCAACATACAAAAAAACTATAAAGGATTAAAAAAATCAATTTAGTCTTTTTATAAAGTATTTTTGCTACAATACCACAATTCAATCTTTCAATACCGCAACATAACCTGAAAATGACCATAATAACTCATTAATCGACTCTCAAAACCGCAAACTAAACCRCCTTCACATGTAATTCTCTTTTTCGTTGTATTCCGGGAGAAAACACTTGACTTTGCATTAGTTGTGTACTGTGTAGCTTGAAATATTCCATGCTTCAATTTTCTCAAATTTAGTGTCCCCGATCACTGGGACACACTGTACATCCCTGAAATTACTTCTTTTTGAATGCTGACTGATGTAGAAGGGACTATACAAGATATTGTCGTATATGCCTTGSTACATGTACTTGCGGTATTTCTACGTAAACGCGCGTAAAAACGCGAGTCATGGTTGACAGAGTTAGTTTGGTAAGTTGGTATTGCCTTTTTGCACTCAATACTATTTTTACTTAATCAAATACCATATTATATGACGTATTTCCGACTTCATTAAAAATGAAGTTTTTGTTCGATCGCGCTCTTTATATTCTCCTCATCACGGAATAAMTACTTCTATAAAGTTCTTAATCCAACTATTCGTGTTTAAATAAAATAAGAACGTCCAGATACCATGGATACCATTAAATGACTAGCAAAATCTGTTCCCGATTTATTTCTTACAAGTTGCAAATAAAGTTCACTGGTTGGGTATATTTCTAAGCAATTGTTTTAAGTTCGTGTTGTTTTTTATTCATTTTGTTGAATAGTTTTCCAGCTGTTTAAAGTAGCTCTCCTGCGGTGTAATCCAACTCTTCGTGTTCATGGATATTTGACTTTTTGGGAGCCACAGTTAAAGCAATTAAGTTTAGATCACGTGACCTCTATTATCGTCTAATAAAAMCAATACTTGTTGCGTACATTGCAATTAGCTAGCTCGAGAGTAGGCATGCACTTGGTCCTTTACAATATTTGAAGAACAATGGAAACATTGGCAACATCAGCTTCTTTTCAAATCAAGGTATCCAAAGRGACATCGTTACGTTTATTTAGAAAAGATCCTACCATAAAAACTCTTAGGCCCACTCTCTAGCTCAAACTAGAAAGCACGGTTAGAGCACTTAGCGTAAAATTGTTAAACATGATGCATGAGAAACAAACGAGCATTTGACGGACTTTTTTCTTTCTTCTATACGGACTGTTTGAGTTCGTAAGGAATCTCAAACCTTTTGTTGAAAACTGGAACCCGGCAGCTCAACTAGATGAAAGTAAGCGGAAGCGTTTAAGGAGATTTTGGGATAAAATTATCCTTGATACGAGAGGCTTCAAGTTTTCCGCCTCTTTTTCCACAAAAAAACTATATTGTAGTTAAAATTGTAACTATTGCCTTGCGACACCCATCGATTTCCATTTATTCCTAAAATTCAAATCATGAAATTTCTTGATAAATATGATATTGAATAAAAATATCTCAAAAAACTCATAAAACGTCCTGGGCACCACAGACGATAGAGTTGTAGACATAATTTCGTTAAAAGCTATCTATTAATTCAAAAAATGATTTAACTGCGTATTTTAATAAATATTATTTAAAAAAAGCRACTAGTATCAATGTTCTACAATGTGTAATTTCTTTCTTTGTACCTTTAGGTAGGATCATGCGGGAAGACGCCTAGAGAAAGCTTCCTGGATGATTCTGAAGGCATTTCATGTGCATCATCGTCAAAAGACAGTTATTTACTGCAGTCTACGGAAACAAGGTTATCTAGACTAATTACTGCATAATTTTCCTTATCACAATGTCCAGAAATATACATTCAGGAATGTAACTGTTACTTAATCACCTTGAAATCCCATTGTTTCTATGATCACAAACATCCCTTCCTCATGAATCACACTTGTGAAAATCAATTCAAATACTCTCCCATTTGAAGGAGCATTTTAACTAATCCTCCCTCGTCCATTGCTAATGAGGGAATATTAGCTTTAATACTCCCTCGTGTTACATATTCACATGAAGTTGCGGTCCCTCATATCCCGAAATCTCCGGGACACCTAGACCCGGTTCGAGTTGTACACATGGGGAGGCATACGGTACCATAGCAATCATTGCGTATACATGAAAAAGGTTCCATACTGAATCTGTCAAAATCAAAAATATTAGTAGTTTATGGTGGCTTGACAAAATTGACAGTTTCTGTGGTGGTCTGCCTGACAAGACAGCGTTTGTTTGGAAACATTCAAATGCTTGCTGTTCCGTAGCTGGTCATTTCAACTGTAGGACTAAATAAATGAATAATAAATAAATAATAAATAAATACGACTAATAAAAAAGTCAAAGATATTACAATTTAGAAAGTTTTTAAGTCCAACACTGAATACGAGCAAATCCCCCACTCAAATTGTGACGCAACATTGTTACGGTTGAAGTTCTCGGAGTCGACGTTTCTCATTTTTCACCTCATCAGTGTCCCAGCTCTGGCAAACTTGTCACGCAACTAAACATAGTTTGTAATTTAGCGACATAACTCCCTTAGATAAGCGATAGATAGGACAAATATCATTATAAAAATAACAAGCAAACAAACAAATAGAGTGTGCCCATTTTCACCATCAACGCCATCAATCGTTGACACCTTCTAAAGTGTCTTGAAAGGCATAACGCCCCTTAGATTTCTTTGCGTTCACACTCAAATACAATCAATAGTTAAGATGGTCATAATTGAGCTCGATACGCCTACTACAACTGTTAGTTCTTCCCCAAATCAACATATATTTTGATTCATTTTTGATTACATTACATGGTCATGCATAATGTATATTAATCACGCTGAAACGAGCCCCTTCCGTGCCTACATATCATTATATATTGTCTATTAATTAAGTCAGTGATGTCTAGTTAGGCATTATTAAAAGCAAAAGAAAACTCGATGACTGCCCGATTGAAATTATTTTAGCGTGCTCCGTGCTCATTGCATATAGCCCGAAACCAAATTATAACTTAAACTATGTTAGATAGACAAGTTCAGATTTCTAACATGACTGAATTGGCAGATGAATAGWGCTGGATCATCTGTTTGTAATAAAGTTTTGAAGTCCCGAAGTAACACGGCAATCATTCCTTGAACAATCCTGAAGCGCCTGATTCAACAAGAAACCACCCACTGTTAAGAACTCATTTTGAGGYATTGGCCTTGAGCAATGGATTTTGGAAAGCTTTTTAACGGAAAAACAATCTACATATGAGCATTATGCCTGAAAAATGGTCCGTCCAATTACCATATGAAGACCTCCTTTGAAGGTACAGAAATACCAAGGACAAACACACTCCATGGACCGGCTTTAACTACAGTTAGCGGAGATTGAAACGAGAAATAGAAGGAATCCTGGGGGGGAGGGGGGGCATGCTTTTAAGTCTYGGGTCAGGTATCCTTTTTGACATTTCTTCTGGGATAGGGTATGGATTTTGTCTGATATAGTGTTACAATTTGGTCAGTAGTTTAGTCTAGATAGATTTGGTTTTGCTCGTTTTAGTCTGGATAGAGGTCGTTCGACAAAGAAACAATGTAAACTCCATTTAGGTCTGAGGAAAGTGTTAGCAAAATAGTGTGTACAATTCTTAGGTTTAGTCTGGGGTAGGGTACGAAATCTCGAAATATAGGGTCAAGGTATTGAGGTTCTTCCGGGACACCCCCACCCAAGTTGGGGTGGTAATTCCCCCCCTCCCCCTCCCGTAGGAAGGAAGACGACTGGGTTTGTTTCTTCTGTTTCTTTGCTTCTGTCTTTGTTCCGTCTCCGTTCGCTGATTTTCAGACTCTTAGAAACTATTTGTTTTTAAAAGAATGTTTCTCTACACTGGGTACCAAAGGTTGGACTTTCCCCTTTCTCATAACATATTTTGAGTCGTAAAGCCGATTACCTTAAAGCCTTCAAATTAACAGCACTTGGCACCGCGTAAATAAAACTATGAGCAATTGAAATACCATCCCATATAAATGCTTATACTTTGAAACAAAAAAAAAAAAAAACAGTCCTACACTTTGATTCTTTCTACAAATGAGCTGAAAACGGATTTGTAGGTCCTTTTGTAGTTTTGGCTTGTAGCATGTCTGGCCATATCAGTTGTCCCATTATTGAAATTTCCCCGGCAGAACTCTTGCATGCCCTTAATAAATCCGCCTTTCTAGAACTTTCCTCCCGGCGGGAATTAATGCCTTACTCGTGAACCCAGCCAATAAGAATCAAGGATTTGTGATGGATCCAATCACAGCTCTAGCGAAAGCAGCGAGTTGCCACTTCATGACTCAAAGTTGATTTACAATTTTAAAAGAACGAAATAAATCTCGAAAAGATCAATTCGATCGAACAGGGACAGTAAGCCCGACAACATTCAACATAATTTTAATTGATAGATTTCTAATGCATTACTGATTTCGTCACTTTCAGAAAGAAATTTTCCAACACGGATGATAACAAACCCTCCGGGGGTCTTCGRCTTTATGGAAGACTTGTCCTTGAAAAGTTGAAGCAGAAAGATACGACGAACTTTGACGAGGTGTGTACACTCTACACAAAAAAATCCACAAATTTCAACCTTTTTTCTAAGCATTTCAAGATTTGTCCAGCGCTTAACTCCCAGCGATAAAAGAATTGACGTTTCAGCTATATTTGGTCAACCTTTTTAATGGGAAASTCATGCAATTTAGAATAGATTACTAGGTATCTTAGCATTGCAGTAATGACACATGCTGACCTACTTTTTAGAGGCTAACAATTGKGCCAGTGGCTATTTACCGTTTGTTTTCACATTTGATTCGAGTTTCTGAATAGCACATCTGCACCGGTCTTTATATCCCAATTTTCACATACAGATCCAGACATGTTTGCGTTCATGTGTTTAGCATGTTGATTTCTTAAAATATACACCTCGTAGGACTATCTGCATTTCAGATTTGGTCCACAACTAAACGGTTAAATAAACTACTACGAAATGGCTTTTCTCWGTGCCAAATAAAGGAATAAGGAAGTCAGACTGACCTAAATGCAACAATTGATGTTGGTTTTCAATTCTTTTCGTCCGAATTAAGAGTTACGTGGTTCTARTATAGATTGACTTTTGATGGAGTTTGAATAGACTTTGCTGGAGGGTTCGTGGCTCATTCAAAAGTATTTAGTCAATTTAGAGCCAGCGAACTTGTCGCTACTCATATTAGCAAGTTGCAGGTTGTGCACGTACATTTAATGTGGTAATATGTATTTTTTTCAAGGTTGTTACTGAGATTCACAAAGATCTGATAGAGGGGTCTGGACTGAACGAATGTACCGATCTTAAGGTAYAATATCGTCTATTCCTTACTTATCCCAGATTATTCGTTTTTCGCTATGYTTGGTCCTACAGCGATGTTATATTAACCATATCATGCACACTCTCGKAGCACGTCAAATTCTCTAGATCTACAAAAACAAGTATGGGCCATTGTTTTGTGTTTATTATACAAAACCAATTAAGAAGAGTTAATTGCCCTTAGCATTGTAATCACATTTTAATCACMTAAAAAGTCACCAAAGAATAGAATAAGTGATCCTGGAATAGGTATCAACTGTCTGGCACTAAAATTATCCGACCTACTGTGACCTATACACGTTATATTGGATTCAGGTGTAGTGTCGTTAATAGTGCATAGAAGGATCGGGAGTGGAAGGGYAATATTGAATATRGTACTTCAAAATCTTAGGATTATTGAATATTCCCTGAAAAATGTACAGAATACGGAATATTTAAATATAAAAACACATACAAAAGCGAGCGCAATAGGAAATACTTAGCCAGCTTAATACATTTATGAATTAAACGAAATTAAAACTTAACTGATATAGCTACCTAGCACTTAAATATTATCAAGGAATGGGAATATTCACCCCTGGAGAACAGAGGAATACAGAATATCTTAAGTTGAAATATGTGCTCTGCTTTGAATTTTAATGTCKTTTTTATTTGCAGAATATCAGGCGAAGAGTTTATGATGTTTTAAACGTGTTGTGTGCATTGGGAATAGTGTCAAAAAACGAAAAAGACATAAGATTGATCAAAGATCACGCCGAGGATCTGCCAGAACGTTTGGAACTTGAGGTACCAATTGATCCCCTAATTTCCCCAATGAAAAAAAACATTGACAGAAATGATAGAAATAAACTAATAAACTAAGGAAGATTGCAATACATTTTACGCATTTTCTAATTCAGAAAGAAAGAAAACTTGCAGAAGAATCCATYGAACAAAAGAAAGCACAACTCAAAGAGCTGCTATTGCAGGTAYGGCTATTAAAACAAGTTTTGTATTCACAATGACTTTTTTTAGCCAGAGATTACTATGCATCCTTGCATGATTAAGTAGAAAAGTGATATCTTGCAGACGATTYCATACAAATCATTGCTTTGCCTGAAGAGGAACGCTCGAAAGCAAAAACTAAACGAAAGACAAAAGATTGACCTWCCCTTCATAATRGTCAAGAATCCCAAAAACACTGCAGTGAATTGTGAAGTATCAGAAGACAGGTACCGATAAAAATTAATTAAAATGATGGCCATGTTGACGATATCATATTATTGATAATATTTCCTTATTTTAGATTACAACATCTCTTTACCTTCGAACACCCATTTGAAATCCTAGACGACTTACAAGTTATCCAGCGAATGGGACTAGCGTTTGGTTTAGAAGCCAAGACCTCGACCGTCGACCAGCTACGAGAGTTCGAAYAGATGGTTTCCAAAGAGCTTGATCAAGAGTGCCATTGCGATTCAAATAAAGCAGAAAGTTCAGTTTTATCCAAATGTCAAAATTTGGTTGTCAATGACTCAAATCTTCCCGTCCATTGCAATAAGTGTCTAGTCTCCTCGCGGACGGAAGAACGGCATTAATTTATTTTACATTATATAAAACTTATATATCACTTTTGAAGGAAGGTTACAAGAAAACTATTTTATCATTTCTACTCGTTTGTCAACACTAAAGACTATACATTAACTGTAAGCTTTCTTAAGCTCTTTTGGTTACTCGATGAGTTGCCTTATTTTATAAAAGTTTTATATAAATTCCTGCGGTGTCCGTTCAATTCCCGCATGTTTACTTGACTCGTTTCTCAACACCCAGGAAAATGCTACCATCAACTGTAAGTGTTGCTTTACTAACCAACTTAGGTTTCTTGGTTTCGGGTGTCATCGATAAAGATATCCTCTTCAAAAGCCTTGCAAGCATCATTTTCATTTCCATTCGTGAAAACCTCATTCCAATGCAGTTTCTTGGACCATGCCCAAAAGGTAGATATGAGTAAGGATCACGTGATAGTTTGCCCTCTGCACTAAAGCGTTCTGGGTCAAACGTTTCAGGTTCTGGGTATATCTTGGGATCTCTGTGGATGCTGTATGCTGGTACTAGGATGGGACAGTCCTTGGGTATCTTAATTCCCTTGACAATACACGGTTTGGTGCATTCACGCATGAGCATCAGACCTGTAAATGAAAAGAAGTTTTAAAATAAGTGYCYCCATATATAGAATTTGGTGTCTGTTCATTCCTCCCAATGGACCCAAATTTTTTGAATTTTATTCTTATCAAAATAAATAGTCATGTTTATTATGCCATCAAAATATCAATAACAATTCCAACTCCACAATTCCACTACATGAGAATTGCATTACAAAGGTGAATTACCCGGTGGGCAGAGCCTCAGGGTTTCTGATATAACCATATCAAGGTAATGAAGATCATTGATGGCATCATAGGTTGGCACTTCCTCTTCATCAGGCCACACTCTGTCTATCTCTTGCTGGACTTTTTCCTGGATTTCAGGTTTTGCTGCTAGGTAATAGCATGTTAAAGCTAAAGTTGTGCTTGATGTTTCATAACCAGCCAGAAGGAAGATGACACACTGAGCAATGATATCATCATCACTCAACTTGTGGTTGTCGGGTTCTTCAGGATTTGTTGCATTGATCATCAAATCAAGAAAGTCCTTAATAAGTTATAAAAAAATCGTCAGGCAAAATTCCTTTGTCATTACAAACATGATTATACTTTTTTCAACTTGAAACTATGCTGAAAACTTTCTTTGTCAGCTTTTTGTGAAAGACTGTAAGGACATAATGTGAAGGTTATAATGTCATTTCATATTTCTAAGATCCTAACCTTATATGTGTCTTTTCCTAGTTTACGTCGCTCATCTAGAACACTTTGAGCTAGATCCACAAACTCTAAAATATCCTTGAAAAAGAARTGGCTGCCAAATTGAGAAGTTGGAAGTTTACGACCATATGGGAGGTATGGCAAAATGATGTTCTGCATCGTGATGTTAAGTGCACTTGGTTTCATCGCTCTAATTGCCTTTTGCATTATGGGATCATTGGGGTTGTTTTGGAAGTCAGTTTGAACACCAAATGCTATAGACATGATAGCATCAAGAGTTGCAGTTTGTTGGTAGCTGAAAATTTTAACAAGATGAAAAAAATGAAATATAAATAAGTCAGAAGTTTAGTATGATATTTTTTTGCAAATTAAAATCAGAAAATACATGTTGCTACTACAATTGCCAAAGGAAAATACTGAAATGGAATCTGAATGAAATAGTGTATTGAAAAGATGGAAATTTTATCACAAAAAACTTAAAATACTGTTCCATACCTAACGATATCAACACTTTTTCCACTTGCAGCTACTTTGTCAATTCTCTCCATTAGTTTATCACATATCAAATTTATCAGTGATGTCATGCCTTTAAGTTTGTGGGCACTAAATGAGGGCGACAAGGTGTTGCGAATTCGTTTCCAGGTTTCTCCATGAGCAATATTTAGTGCCCTGTCAAGAGGTTTTGGCATGGTGAACTTTGTCTAGAAAAACACATGGGCACAAGTATAAAAATACAGAAAAAGAAACAAACAAAATAAAAGAAACAATAATATATGCATTCAATGAAGTTTATTAGTTCAATAATCACATTTTAGTGTATGAAGGGCGGAGAATACCTAAGCGCATAATTTGAATGATTCAATGTCTTAAAAACATTCATCACGCAACACTATTGTAATTAATATTGCGTGACATAAAAGAATTAAAGAAAAAATACAAAAAAAAAACTAAACAAAATGTAACGACAAAAACATCTCACCGTTCTTTCATAGAAGCAGTCAAAATTCTTCACACAAATGTCTTTGATCATCTCTGGGTCGCTCACAACAAGAGCTGGACTTCCAAAGAAGCTCAAAGCGAAAAGTTGACCATACTTCTTGTAATACACATCAAAATGCTCATGAATTTGCCCTTTCGCTTTTATTAAATCGACTGTATGGCCAAAAAGAAACATTGGCTTGGGTCCTGTCATTCCTGGGAATGCATCCTCAAGAAGACGTCGTTTTCGCGTGCCAAATCGATAGAACATGACCACAAACATTAATCCCAGTATGGTGTAAATTATAGAAGAAAATTCGCCAAAACTCGTCATAAAATGATTCATTTTTGTTARTTGACACTAGTCAACAACTAAAAGTATGGACCGCGTTGTCTTCTTTTATATCACCGCAACAATTAGCRGATTCTTGCAAGATACAGCAACAATTACAACAGCTTTCCAGTTTTCAAAACGGGAAATACGTCATATGTTATATTTGATATGCACTGGAGTAAAGCGTAGCAGTCCTACTATYGAAAGCTGACAGCATAAAGATTTCCGACGATCTTCAAATCTGTTGTGCTTCCGCGGTTTTACATAAATTTTAATACAGGAATATGCAGAAATTATGATCATTTTGACTCATATTCCAAGTATATATAAAATATTTCAGAAATTATGGGATATCGTCATCGCTGATATTATTTTGAAGTTGAATAGCAGTACATGAGCAGTAGCACGTTCTGCAAAAAATAATGGCAATGATATCCCATAGTTTCTGATATATTTTATGTATATTTGAAATAGACTATGAGTTGAAAAGCATATTGCTGTTTATCATATAATCATCTATCAAGAGAAACTCTTGAATACCTATATTTCTCCGTTACGTAAAATTGATATTTTCACTAGTGAAAATATCACATTCGAGGTTTCTCTKTATAGTGGAAGTAAGAAAAAAGGTATTTTACGACATAATTTGCGTTCATATCCAATTATATGATAAACAGAATATTACATGGTCGCTTGGAGATACGAATTTTATCTTCTTCGCTGCGCTCACTCGTGAGAGATCTTTTCAACACTCGAAGATAAAATCCGTATCTCCGCGCGCCCATGTAATATCCTTTATATATTTCGTGACAAATCAAAACCAGGGTAAATAGAAGAAAGAAAACCTCAAATGTATTTCAAGGCAAAATTCGTCAACACCATGCATTAATACATCAAGCATGATATTATTGGATTATTCAGTTTTTAATTTTTTGAGAAAAAGCGCGTTTTAGTAGCCAAAACATCACATTCAATATGTAAGTCTTGCAAGGCATTATTTAACCAATCAGATTCTGTTAAAGTGTTATGTAACAAACCACAGGGGGTCTTCCTGATTACGGCCACTGTTTGCACAAGCACTCCTACAAACCCCCTGCAAGTAGCTGTTCCTAGCAGTTTTTATACTCCTTCCATAAACAGAGAATATCTATCAAGGTAAGTTTCAAAGCATGAACGCGATGTAGCAAATACTAAAAGAACTCTGAAATAAGACTGATAGATTATCATATCATCTAATGGCTTCATTTTAAGTCCCAGGACAAAATCACCTCGGTATGATATCTCACCTCATTTGTATAGGTCAATCAGCAATAAATCATACATGTCATAGCAATAAACGGTTCCTAGCTTTATTCGTAGCTTCAAAATGGCTGAAAAATACAATTATTTTCCAAATGCAAAATTGTCTAAATGTGTAAACAATGATGCAGCATAATAATGTCAACATAAAGCAGCTGAAGTCCCTAAGTTGATTGCGATCTCTTCACGCGTTTTTAACGCAATTGTGTCAACTTGTCAGTCAGTTGAACTCTACATGCGCTTTAATGTAACAACGAGAAATTCTGAAGAATGTATTGTATTACACTGTCAAGCTTAGTCACGAAAACCTTCAAGCACTCGAGAATTAATTCGAGAATTCTGCAGAAAATTTGCATATTCACAACACATGTTCATCTAATATTCGGACATCATGCTGTCAGCACGATATATCAAAGCTCCGCCATGACATTCAATTAAAAGTGAGCTAGAGGCGTTGTCTTGGGGTCAGGGTTTAACATCATGGTTTATGAGATCAAGGATCTTTAGACCTGGGATGAYAGATCACAGAAATAGCTTGGGATCAGACAAAAGGAATTTGGGGATCAGTCGAATGCCAAAAAAAGGATTTTTGAAATCAACTCTGCTCTCCCTATAAAAAAATCCAAGCCAACTCTATCATAATAGATGAATAGTAGTGATCTTTTAGAGAAATATGATATCCACCCGCCATCACATCCTTATATGAGAAGATAATGGCAGAGTTGTGTCCTGCAGAATTCAATTGAGAATCAACTGGTTTGGGAATTTATAACAACTATACCACTATGTTTCTCAGTTCCAGTGGTGTTGTGTTTATCTCCATGCAAGAATGCATGGATATCACTTTGGAGTACATTTTTAACTTTAATATACATCGATGATAAAGTGCATTTCTGCAGCTGTTTCATCCACATATACTGAACTTAAAATTATTTATGCAGAATTACACCAATATGGTCAAAGTACTACTTCTGGTGACCAACCATGGTAAAATGGGCAATCTGGACAAAAAGACTGGGTGGTACCTGCCTGAAGTGGCCCATCCCTATAAAGTCTTCAAAGAAGCTGGTTACGAAATCATTATGACCAGTCCTAAAGGAGGAGACGCACCAATGGTGAGACATGAAATATATATTGTATAGGATTATCTTAGTGTTAAAGCTGTCAGTCTTATCTTCAGCATCACAAACAACCATAATTCCATGGTATTAAACATAATCAATACTAACAACATTGTCATAAATATGAAAAACCAAGACAACAAATGTCAACTGATGACCATTACCGCAAAATCATCATCAGCAATAATAGCAACAGTAATAATATATGAAATATATGACAACAGCATTGAATGTGCTAATACCTTTAAGAGAAGTTATGTGAGCCACTGTAGATACTTTTTTAGATCTGGGAATGAATCCACACAAGGTGCTGTAAAGGAAACTTTTTTAACAATATATTTTTAGGATCCATCAAGCTATGAGCAGTATCGTAATGATGAAGACTGTCAAATGTTCTTAGCTGACTACAAAATCCAAGACAACTTTCTAAAGGACACAGTCCCATTAGACAAAGTGGATCTTAAATCATGTGATGTATTTTTCTGTGCTGGTGGCCATGGGCCCATGTTCGACTTGCCTGACAATGATCTTGTTAATAACAGTGTGACTGCTGTTTATGAGAAGGGAGGAGTGGCAGCTGCAGTTTGTCATGGTCCTGCAGGTTTGTATTTTGTTATTACTGTGTTATTGATCATCATGATACCAAACATGAGGGGGATCATCAATTCCCATACAACACTGCCACTCATGTTGTCAACTATACTTATGAATACATGTCTTTGCGTTATTAACCACGTAATTTAGCACCATGATGTTTATCAACAATCATTAATATCATCTCAATTGTTATTACTATCATCTCCATCATATATAAACATTGTTAATCTTGATAACAATAGCATTTGGGTTATGAAGGAATATGGAGTAACAGCTTGCGTAATGAAGCAAGGCAAAAAGGAATGAATAAAATTACAGAAAAAAAACGAATGAAAGAGGATAAACAAACAAATAACAAAGTCGGGTCTTCTTTTGTTAACAGGAATTGTCAACACCAAGTTGTCCAATGGAGAGTACTTGGTGAAAGGAAAGAAAGTTACCTGTTTCACCAATTCAGAGGAGGACGAAATGAACCTCTCCCAAGCTATGCCATTCATGTTGGAGACGAGACTTAAAGAGCATGGAGCTGTGTTTAATGCAGCCCCTAATTGGCAAGCAAACGTTGAAGTGTGCGATCGCGTTATAACTGGTCAAAATCCGAACTCTGCCACACCAATTGCCCAGGCAATTGTGAAAGAACTCCAGAAATCTAAGTAATTACCAAACTGAAGGCCATGAACATATTGTAAAACAATATCACACTAACAAATGTTGTAGTTGTTAAAACTTCTGTCATTACATACGAATAAAAGCGTTCATAAAGAGAATGAAAAAAAGCAGCGTTCATCTGAAATCAGAAGTACGTAACTAGAAGTGTCCATCTCGTTGTAATCTAGTCACCATCAGATGTCCCGATAATCTATTTTTAGACAACCAATCACAAAGTGCGCACATATAATATGAAACCTGATTGGGTTTGTTGTCGGGTTTGTTATCAAACAAAAATAGGTTTGGTAAATAAAAATGTTCATAATTGCACGATATTTTCCTTCCTTGACGCAAACAAATCTGAAAACGACAAATCCATCATCCTATGGTTTAATTGCAATATAGTTTCATATCCACAATGATATACAATAAACGATAAATGTGCTATTAGATAAATTGCAGTGCATCCTCACTAACAATACTAATACAAACAAGCCAACTTAAAAACCCTTCCCTTTTGATTTTAAAAATTTCGACAATTCCAAGCAATAAGCGTTCCCCCAAATCAGTGAAAATGTGCGTTTGAGTTTTTGTGTCATATCCATGTAATGTCGTCATGTTTGGTTTATTATTTTCCCCCTCCAAGAGTAACTTTGTCAAACTGGTATTCCCCAAGCCCATCGCCAAGTCTTGATAATGTACCAATGTAGTTTCCAAGCTGTTTGATGGCGTCAATTTGCTCACCAAGGAAATTGGATTCGAGGAAGTCCATCATCTGTGAAAACGAGAAGGACGTTTTTTAGATTACGATTAACAGAACATTATTAACATACTGTAATATTGTTATACTAACCTGAGGATCTTTGGCATCGTCTGCTACTTTGTGGACGTCGAGGAGACTTTGGTAGATTGTCTTCTCGAGTAGCAATGCTTCCTTCATTGCCGTGAGTCCATTACCCCACTGATCACGGCATGGATGCTGTAATAAGAAATACTAGTGAGTTTTCCGTGAATGGTTTGACCGAAGTTTTACATGTTTTATTACAGTTACAAATAACGATTAAACATAAATGTAAAGAAAATCAAAAATAGGTGTCCAAAGATATTCTGACTGCTGGCATATTGCTGCTAACACGTGATCAAAAGTGCATTGATTACAGAGTTTTTAAGGATGTAATACCAAGTGAAGTCTATGTAACTGTTAAGGTGAAAAACAAATTTCTTTTCGTGCCATGGTCTTATTGAAATGTCATCTACCAGTGCATATACCTTGAAAGGGAAGCCACTATTGATTTAACGTACCCTGATTGCATTGAGCTTGACTCGTCCTCCACGCTTGTTTTGATACTCCATGAACTAGATATAATATAACAATCTCTACAATAAGTAATATACTATATACTATCGAGTCGTTTCCTAAAACAAAGCACGGAAACATGGATTTGATGAATTCAATTAAAAGCATAATCACCAAGAAAAAACAATAACAACAACAAAGAAAAGAAAAAATATACGCAGCGTCCCAATTTAGCAAGCTCACATAAAGGACTGCTGTGGATTTGGGTCTTATTTCGGAGTCTTTAGTAAGCACTAACGATGTGTTTGTGCTTATGATTGCGACGTGAAAACCAAGGTTAAAGGAATGGTCGACTATTCATTCAAATTTTACAACTTGGAGAGTAAATTTTAAAATTCATTGAGGCTTACCAACATTGCATGCTTTTGCTCTTCCTCTGCTGACTCTCGGAAAAACTTGGCAAAACCAGGCAGATAATTATCATCTCGGGAAAAGTGAGCAGCCTATCGAAAAAAAAAACGGTAATGTTCAGACCCCTTGGGAATATTATTCCTTTTTTCTCATTAAAACTTGATACGCGGATGCATGAACAGCAAATAGCTTCACTCTCTCTAAGTCTATTGGAGAATGAAATTCACTCTATTGGAGTTATTGGAAATAACTGAGTTTTTATGGCGTTGCATTTCATAATTTCCTATAATTTAGAATAAGATAAAGAAAGGATTTCTGCTACAAAGAAAGACAGAGACAAGAAAGAGCGTACTAAAATTAGTATAGTTGCGGAGTTGGGACGTATTTGGATTAATAATTTAATTATACAGATTTGGACTGAAATTACAAAGAATGCATGGATGTCTTGAGCAAGGTCCCCCAAAACTATGCATTCTCTCTTTTCTTGGTTAATATTCAACTAAATAGTATTAAACTTTAAAAGAACACTAATTGTAGTGTGGTCTTTTATGTGGAAAGTTTTCGTGTGGACTACTTTCTAGTGGTACATATTGTTTACACTGAAGTGGCTGAAAGCGATTAAATTTCCTACAATCTCTTACCATGGACATGTAAGTATACTGAGCAAACAGTTCTCTGTTAACCTGCTGGTTGATGGATTCCTCAAGTTTCGTCTTGGAATCTTTGGTCTCCTTCCATGTCCTTATATGGGACTCATCTACACTTTGATTTCCTATCAAAGAAAAAAGTGCATTTAGTGCGCATTTACTATATAATATCGCATACGAAAGAAGATGTTTTGTGTCTTCGATGTCTGTCGCTCGTCAGGTCCTTTTAAAACTTACCATAGATGTTTTGTGGAGGATCGATTTTCCACTTATGTTCTTTTTTCTAAACCATGGCAATCACATGTAAATAATAATAAATAAAGAAATCGGTAAAAACGAAAACAAACAAATGAAATATAGACGATAATATATGAATAATAATAAACAAATAAAGAACCAAATATATATAGAGTAAACGAAAGGAGGGAAGGAGCAAAAGGGAGAAATGAAGTAGAGAAAGAGAGAAACGAAAGGAAAGAAGAAGCGCAGAGGAAAAGAAGGAAAAAAAGCCCCAGGAATAAGGGAGAAAGAAAGGAAGAATGGGACGACATACCACGATATGTTCACTAAGTTTGCACGACTTGCTGTTGACGACGGCAACCAAAAACAACGAAACAAGAAGGATTTTGAACGACTACAAATAAGATAAGAGAATATGTTAATTATTCGTAATACAATCGATATTTTCAGCGAACGCGCACACAGAGCAAATAGGTCTTGGAGACTAATCCCCCGGGAACGGCCATGTAATAATAAAATTAGTCTGATTATCTCTAAGAGCTGGGAAAGAGAGGATTTATAACTTTATGGGAATGTTAATTCCCCCGATATTGACCGGGAGTTTGTGGGACTCTGATGCATAAAAATATAATTGACCCGACAAAAGTGAAACATACCACAGATAGTTTCCCGTGGTTTTGTCTCGTGACCAGTGACGGAGATACTGATTACATAACAAATTTATAAACAACGCTAAAAATATAAATCTTTAGAAATATAAGTTTCTTGTCTGTTTCAGGGAAAAGATCTGTCATTTTGAACATAATTTTACTGTTTAAAATTCGTTTACGTTGTTATGATTTCAGATTATAACTGTACTTTTGGTCACAGGAATCCCAACTATATAGGAATGTACCTTGCGAAATATCTTTCCAATATCTACCTATAAAATGTTGTAAAGATTTCCATTCCTTTAAGAATATCTCACTTATAAGACTTTCATTAAAATATAACGTTTTCGGTTAAAATCAGTCGAGTCTGTCGGTATTCAAGTCCAAAGAGCAACACTCGATCTATTGAATATCAGTTGCCCCTAAGAAACCCCAATAAAGTACAGAATTGTGCATAAATAACAATAAATATCTAAAAGCTTACCATAGTAAATAAAACTTGTACAGAGATAGCTTATTAAAGTCAAGAGTTCTGTATCCTAGCAGAGACTCTCAGTTTGTGCTGACGCTCTTTGTATTCCTGTCTGAAATCTGATGCGATCAACTGCTTTGTACTAATCATCACGAGACATGATATTTTTCTGTGACCTTAGGACCCTGSRATTGTTTCTCTGGCTCCAGGAGYTGTGAGCGCTCCTCGCGCAATYCATTATTTCGTCTGGCTTGCATATATTTCCAAAGATGGCGCAGAACTCTTTGACGCATGATTTTTCATTCGGGCTATTTTGTGTCAGATTTTGACACCGAGTCATGAGATGTAACTTTGCAAAATTCGTTAAAAATACATTTTTTAATTTGATCGAAAGAATGATCTCTGTACCAAAGTACTTCTGTCGTGTACATGTTACCAAATCACGTACAACTCAGTTGAGATACAGTAAAAACCCGTATATAAGAACACCTATTTTAAGTCTATTTTGGCGGTTTTAGGCTAATTTGCTTCTTATATAAAGGGTTATAATCTGCAAAATCAGCCTATAAGTGTTCTTAAAAGGTTTCTTAAAATAAGGAGCAAAATCAAATATCTAAATAGAATAAGCTTTTTCAGGAAATATGCGATCTGAAGATGCTTTTAGCAAAAAAATTGCATTTTGTTACATGGGGTAGAAATATTATGTGTCTAATGAATAGTAGTGTTGATCTTTGACTATTTTTCCATAAGAACAACTTTCATTTTTCAGGCTAATGTGTTCTTATATAAATGGTACTTTATTTGCGTTTCGGCGATTTAAGAATCTTTAAAACTTCAGTAGGTTCAAAGATCGTACTTCAAAACTGATCCGTCGAGTACTTTGAGAAGGGATTTCATATAACTGTGCAAAGGCACGTATCAAGACACTGCAGAACCTCGTCTGGTAGTGACACCACATGGAAATATTGATCCGCCATGACACGTTACAATCAGCCTGAGGGCCGTGTTTTTTTTGTTTTTGCATAGTCATACGGAATCCACTGAAAGCCAATGGAAGTAAATAGCTGGGGGGGGGGGGGGGGGGGGGGGTAATCCCCTATATTCGCTATACGGGTACGTGCCGCCAACCAGGGTATCGTTTCCAGCGATTTTACTCTGGAACAGGGTATAGTTTCTGCGATTTCAATCTGGAACATGGTCAGGGTTTTGAGGTTCCAGCGGTCCCTTCCTTATCCTCAGAAATTTTGTATAGATTTTATTCAATGGATACAACCAGCCACTGTCCTTTCAAAATTTTTAGGCTGATGTCGATGATATATAATGCTACGAATATATAATCAGTAATAACTAATAACTTTAATCCTTTCAATACCAGTTGATACATAGGATACAAAATGTCAAAATACAAGCAATGATTAATTAAATAATATATCAAATAAATAGACTTCAATGTGTAAATTGTAAACTTGCAAGAAAATAGAAAATCTAAAGTTCATTGTAAAAAGTCATAGCAATATTAAGCACATATATCAATAGACGATTCTTCATGCATTAGAAGTAAATACTGAAAAAAGTCAGTATTTTTTAGCTTACACAAATGTGGACAAGTAATACTTAAAACATCAAAAACCGCTTTTCTTAAATTTACAAATTTTTCATGATTGTCTAAAATCACAAGTCTTTTTCAGTGGAGAGGTTTTGAAAATGAATCTAAGAGGTACGAAATGAAAAAAAAACATTGTCATTTCGAGACAAAAAGAGAGAAAAAGAATTTATTCATTTATTCATACCTGGTTTTTTGCACTACATTTATGTATGATCTTTGGACCAATCACAAATGCTGTGGATTTCTGTTAAGAGAAAACTTACTTTGATCTCCAAAAAAAGTATTTTCGTACCGTCTACACTTCATTACCGACACAGTTACTCAACAAAAAACATAGCTGAACATAGTTTAGAATTGATACTACCTCGAATGGAAATATTGCGTCTTATTAAGGAAAACTGAAAGCAAAGGTATTGATACCTTAATTTGATTGATTTGTATTTTCTCTCAACGGCCAATGTTGTTCTTAGAAGAAGGGGAGCATGGTTGAGTGTGAAGGCTCTCACTCAAAATATGGCCTCTGATTACAACTCTACCCAATTGCAAAGTCCCCAAACAGTTAGAAACYATTCCACGACGGTACAAAATGAATCAGGGAGACAGAAGTTGCAGCAGAATGAACTAAGAGAGCAAGAATCCGTGATTTCTTCGCAGCACAATGGCGTCGTTTTCACTTCGGCTTCGCCACAGAATTCTCCAACTTCGTCTTTTGCTACTTCAAATCCTGTTTCAGAAACTGGTAAGCAACTTATCTAATCATTTTTTTCATTAAATAATATTCCAAACGTGCTATTTATGTGATTTTATGTTCAAATAGTCAATGTTTTCCTTGTGTTGACTACTAGTAGTCTGTCGTCTTCGTCCGTGTTCAATGGAATTGATACTAACTTATCAATTTGATGAATTTGATTAGATCTCCTTTAGCTTAGAGAAGTTTAGTTAAAGACATGTAGCATCTAAAGTAGTATATTTTAGTTGTTTAGAGACACCAGCTAAATAATAAAGCATACAAGTCTTTTAGGAAATAATTATTTACTTAATATTCCCTGTGAAAATTGACACATCCTGCTTTGACTGTTCTCCCAAAAATWGTGTACAGTTTTGAAACATAAAACAACAAACAAAACCAGATGTTTATTTTTACTAGCCTAGTGTACTATAAAGCTATAGAGTATATTTCCAATAGATCGTAGTTACTTAAGCTTCAGGTCTACTGCTTTAATAATTATAGTTATAATGATCATGTAGTTTATTGATTTTGTGTTTATTTATTTTTTGTCTCTCAAAGCTCATTTAGGCTTGTAAAAATGCCTCTATGTGTGAGAAACCAGGTATTTGGTGTTTAATTACCCAAGGTTTTAAATTCATTGAAGTGAAGATTGAWGCATGTGAAAAAATGCTGAGACTCACTCTTTCTTTGCTAGTAGAGGAAGCAATTCTAATGGGAAGCTTCTGATAAGCAGAGAAAAAACTTGAAAAATAACATTCAACTGATCAAAAATCTTTTTTTAGACGTTCTGCCACAAAATGTTGTTGAGTCTATCATCCAGCAAGGGTTTCCTGCTCTAGCAAAAACGACAAAGCCCATTCCAGCAAGTGTGTTTTCATATCGATTTGCATCTGCYTCTAATAATCAGACACCCTATTATATTTCTTCTGATATTGTATTAAGGTAGGTTTTCCCTCATAAAAGTATTGAAAACCTTGTTAAATACAAGATTTAAGGATGAAYGGACATATCAATGGGGGYGATGTTTGGGTGACATATCCATAAGTCCCTTAACCCACCCAGGGAAATGGTCAAACCTTAACCCACCCAGGGCAGAAACTGATTGACTATCCAACAAAATTAGCAGGAAATAATGATGGTAATGATATTAATACCRGGTATGATATATTTTAGTGGAGGAATTGCACAACAAACAAGAAGGAGGATTGTTCATAATGAAGGTTGGTTATCTACCAAATTCAAGAAATGTCAACAATTGTTAAATTTCTTTCTATAAACTAAGTGGAATTATTTCTATTTTCACTGTCAAACACAATTTTATTGTAGTTGAGAGAAGACGAAAGGACAAAATTAATAGTTGGATTACCAAATTGGCAGAAGTTATTCCTAAATGTGCATATGGAAAACAGGTATAAAATGATATCTTAATTATTTATTATTATGTTCCTCAGAGTCTCGAATATGGGTTATATAAAATAGGCTATACACCAAGTCTACTCTGTACACAGTTGTTACAAGATTTTCTTTATAGAATATAGAAACAATAGCATTTTTGTTTCATATTTTACAATGCTGAATCAGAGTTGTATATTTGTAAGTTGTATAGTTGTATATTTGTAAGTATAAGTTTTCATGCTTCTATTTCAGAGTAAAAACATAGTCTTGGAGAATGCTGTAGAACATRTAACTGAAGTGAATGAGAAGTTGAGGCTGTTGGAAGAATCRCAGCTTAACAAGAACAAACTTGGTAAAACACATTTTTTATCGCTACTGTTTGTATCCCACTTCACACAATAGTGCYTCAGTAATGGAAGTGCCACCTGAGTTGCTTTTATCAGTGTTTGGGCACCAATTTTGTTGTTGTTCACYTTGAGCWAAACAAGTGCCTCYCATGGCATTTCCTTTATGTATGTGGCAAGCCTTACTGAWSCCTTCTTAGACATAGCTGTTGCTTGAGGAACTCGTATCATCTGAAAAGTTTGTTTTTATTTTTTTTTCAGAATCAGAAAATGAAGCTTTGAAGGCCCGAGTGTCTGCACTTCATGARSAAAACAAAAATTTATTATCTTTACTGGAAAAGAACAAGATTCCTATACCAGATTCCCTRAYAACTGCAACAAAACCTGTGAYCAAACAAAACTCATTATCACCCCCAACGTCAACACAAGGGATAGTGACAATAAATAATCCACCTAGCAATACAACAGTCACTTGGTCTACATCAGGAAGAATACCCACAACTTCTGCATCATGGGACAAAAATCAGCCCACCAACCAAAAAGTGCCTGATGATACGTCCTTGATRATGTCAGGGAATGATATTACACATTGCTTGCCTCAAACTCAARCCAATGTGTCAATGTATACAGTATCATCAATAATGAATGGCTTTACACATGGGGAGTCCCTTGTTGATGCTCCCATACAGAACAATCAGCTTGATACTTTAGCCATAACTGTGCCATCAGCATCTGCTAATTTTGAAAATCCATCAATTGGTCTTCCAGTTGTAGTAACCKKAAATATTGGTTCACAAGCTAACCTTGTGACAACACAGAATGCCAACCCYGGGCATATTACATTAGATAGAACAACTACTAACAACAATCTTAAGCCAAGTCAGAAAATAATTTCTCTTGGAAATTCTACACAAGGTGGATCCCAAGGGGTGACACAAGTTCTTCTTTGTCAAGGAGCGCTACCACAGAGTGCTGTCACACAAGGTACTCCAGCAGTTAATGTTCCTGGAGSACCCTTGGGTTCTCAGGGGACCCCAGTCATTAATGTGCCTACAGGGCCTTTGGTAACACGAGGGATTCCAATTGTTAATATACCTTCAGCACCATTGGGGGCGCAAGGTACTTCTTTTGTTAATGTCCCATCAGGACCATTTCTAAGCCKAGGGACTCCAATTTCAAATGTACATTCAAGGCCACTAGCCACCCAAGGAGCACAAATTGTTAATGTACCCACAGCACCATTGGTCACAGCGATTGCAAACACTGTGCCAGTTTCCCAGTACATGGCAAGTTCTCTGACCAGTAATACAGGATTAGCCATTCAAAGTCAAGGACCCATTATGACTCTTCAAACACCAAGCTCATCAACACTGTCTATTGGTAACAGAACAATTTCTTTGATGGGTAAAGGAAACACAGTTGTTTCACAAAATAACACATCAAATCGGCCCTCTACAAGGATTACTGATAATGCAGTTCCTGGTCAAGGTGTTACTGTCATTACCAGTCCTATCAATCAACCATTGCCAGGGACCAATAGCGTTAGAGTCCTCCCTGCTGCCATAGTAACACAAGGACTGGTTACCTTAACAAACTCTGTCACACCAAGTGCGAATCCAATCCCAGTGGCAACACAATCTTCTGGTCTTGTTACAATGAACGTACCTACTTGCCCCGTTGGCATTGGTCAAGGAACTTCAGTTGTCTCCATAGCAGGAGGGACGGGAACTCTTAGTTCAATAAGTACACAACAGCCTGGCTTTGTGACCTTGAAACTCCCAAAGACGTCTATACAACAGACATGTAATACTTCCATGACGCCAAATCTCATAAATTCAGGGACCACACCCACTGTCAATCTTACGCCATCACCTGGGACTGCGTTTGTTATCGTGCGCAGTGCTCCTTCACAACAACAACCTAACACATATCCCACTCTACCAACTCAGTCATCAATTCAAACTACTAAKCTTACTAATGCTAGTTTAGTATCCACTAAGATTACACCATCAACGATTATTCAACCGATAATACAACAACCGAACACCTTGCAGACACCATTCACTATCATTACAGCCAACACATCTACACCAGTCGTTGCCGTAACCACAAAAACTGCCAATATGACGAAAAGAAGTCACCCGAATGGAATAGCCAGGTCGAGAGCTGTATTCAGTGCCTCACCACAGCCACCAGCCAAGGTATCGAAAAATAATAATGGAAAGAAAAGGCAGTCAAACAGGACATCGAGTAGCTCAAAACCAAAGGCATCCAAGCAAAACAAATCTAGTCAAAGAAAAGCGGTCTCTAGTGCTTCACCGTCAGTTGATTCCMCACGGGAGAATGTAACGAGAGAACGAAGCTCATCCAATGTTGATRTTTGTCAACAGGACATGCTTAGTATTCAAAACTTTAGCATCAGTAGTCTTATTCCAAGTATTGAATCACAGAACTCTGCAAACAAGAACAACCCCACCCTGACCAACACTCTATCATCAAATAATGATATGAAGAAGCAAGGGGGGAGCATACCTCGTACAAAACCCAACCAACCCTCGACAAGTCTCCGTTTATCCCATAGCATTGATGCCCTGACAGGAAGAAGACAGGAACATGCTGCTGTTCAACAGCAAAATATTTTAAGCTTTTCGGCAGAGTCACTTTTAGGGACTGGGGAAGACCTTGTTTCCAGTCTTCAACCTATCTCCTGTGCAACGGCGTCAAGCACTACTCTAAGTTCTCAGAACAGTCTCAACATATCTTCATTCCAAGATAACACAGCTGATGGAAATATCAATCATTCTTTCTCGAACTTCTCGGCAGAAGCCTTGATCTCTGAAACCGATTTGATGGGAATTTCAAATGATAACCAGACCTCTCGCTCAAATTTCACACAGGGAAGCCAGAGTGTTAAATCCGCCCCAAGTAGAACTCAAATGTTTTCAGACTTTTCAGCAGAATCTTTAATCAATTCCAGTGACCTTGGCTCTGGTTTGTCATACGCTATTGATAACCTGATATCCCGTTCTGATAACAGTGAGAACAGCATTGCTATGGCAACTGTCAATCCAAATTTACTACATTCAAGTACATCCAACCTAATACCAGATAGCCTGGGCCATCCAGTGTTTACGCACACTACGTCAGGACCGCTGGTCAAGAACTACTGTGACTTTCAGAACACTTCAAACACTAGCACAGACAATCAAAGTTTCACCAAGTACGGCTTCACGAGTCCACAAAAGCAACCAAAAGAAATATTTTCTTTTAAACCGAACGGCGCAACGACCTATTCCTCTATGACAACGTCTCCGACATACTTAAAACATTCCGTGGATAGTATCACTGCGTCACAGCATAACGCAGTCTCTACAGTGGGTGGGGTGTTTGGTTCACCGGGTATTAGTAATACTCTAACTGGACCTTCATTTAATTCTTTATTTTCTTTGGACCAAATGAATTCACAGCAATATCAAGTTGGTGGCAATCCTTTTGCCCCACTGTCTAGTAATTTAACAAGGACGTCCTACCAAGGACCAACTATGGGTAGTTTTGCGTAGTTTGTCCACTAGTGGTTTTCACTAATACATGACAGTAGCTGGCTTAGATGGTAACAAGTAAGAATTTTGTAAAAACAGTAATGTAACGGATGTGATGGAGACTACTGTGACATAGTTGCTGTCATGTAAATGGTAACAAATCTAAATGTTTTCAAAATGCGTGAAAATACATAGCATTATATCAAGWGAAGAAATGAGAAATAGAAACTGAAGTCATGAGAGTTTTTCATCGTGTTATTAATAATATATTTATAACAATAGCAATCGTATACAATACAATCGTCAGTGGATATCTATAGATTTTCAATAACCAAAAGCCACTGGGCAGATGTTGTGTAATATAGATAAATAATATTATTTACGAATAGCCAGTGGCATGAATAACAAGATGGTATTGATTGCCATTGATACGTATTTCCTGGCTTAATTTAATCTTAATTTATTAAATCTTTTGTATTTATAGATCGATGTGTTTATTACCGCTTACTATTTCTTTTTTTATTAAAATTTTTATTAAAATTTTTGTTTATTAGAATTGTTGTTGAGGTTGGCTATGGTTTTGCTTAAAGATGTGCGAAACCTTTAGATGGATCAATATTCCAATTSAGTCTTCGTTAGTCGAATTGAAATAAGTACAATCTCGCCTTGCTGATACCCGGTTATTACGGATACTTATCCGCGCTCCAAATAATCACCCAAACTCCCTTCAGTTCATTCAATGTTAGCGCATCAACAAAAATTATGCAGGAATGGCAGGAATACTATCCAACTAGAATYTGACGAAATCTCCACTTCTGTTGCTTGTTTCATAGTAATACTTTTTAAACAAAGATAAATATGTTGGTCAGCCAAACTTCCCGGCAGGACTCGCAATGTCGTCTGGGATGCTCATGGCCAAAACGTGACAATTAATTATTGGATAAAGTTTTTGTGATATACAGGTATGCGCATTTCAAAAAACAAGACGATATCGATCTCGTGAGGTCTGAATTACATAAAAAACTGTGCAATATCACTTTTATACTTGATACACTCTGACCTGATTGCTGTGCTAATTACGTCATTAATTAAGGGATGACCTAATTGATGACCTAACAATGCTAATTGGTTTCGCGTAATGCCGACGTTCAGGAATCGCGCGCTCGCTGCTTCTCTGTGATACTGAATCAGAYGAATCGAATCGAATGTCTAGGCGATATGACCACGCCATGAAGAAAAACAAAATCCGCCGAAAGAAAGACGCGGGACAAGAGTTRAGTCTTAAAACCTACGGGGTATTCGGTACTGATGATGGGCAAGGTATAGGAAACAGAGAGGGAGGGGATGGTGCGGCATCTCCTGACGTTGATGCCGCTACGGTGACTAAAATGGAATGGTCAGGAGCTGATCTMCCTTTGACGTTGCACTCTGTTCCCGTGGGGGGTAAGGATAAATCGTCAAGGGTTGAGGAAATTGGTGGAATAACTGATCGAATATCAAAGGTAGGAAGAAAACTATAATAATTCTACATTTCATCTAGGCAATAAAAAATAAATCAAATCAATGAGTTCAAATTAATTCATTGATAGATATTGAAGTTGTTTTTCCGCTGTTTCAGTTATTGAGCGACTACGATTCATTATACGAGGATGACGAATCGGTAAGTAGCAAAAAATTTAATGTCAACAAGTTGAATATCTTCTTATGCATTGATCTCTGTTGTGATTTTGAAGAGTAACCAAGCTATGCAACAAAGTGTGACTGGTCAGGTAATGATACTTGTAATATTTTTTGAACATCTTTTCAATTATTATTTCCAAGTCATTCATTCATACATTTATCAGGAGTCCATTATTGTAGTTAATTCAACTAGTATTTTTACCGTAATGATGACGTAACATTTATAATCACTTTAGATCTACATGGAGAGTTTYCTATCCGATTATAACYCCTTGTGTCAAGAACGAGAAATCCTCCTGGAATCACTACAAGACGTAKGTTTACCAGTCTTCTAATCCATCTKTTTTACYTTTYATAAATAAAAGAAACGTTTTTGGGTGGAAAAACTAGTTGAAACAGTTCTCAAGTATTTAAACTTTTTTTAACATACAGTCTCTTGATTTGGACGAAGAAGAAGTCTTGGATCAGGTAAGTGTAAACGATCATTATWTACAATTCTTAGTGGAAACTATAATTCTTATTTTTCTGATCAAATTCAGCTTGAGAAAAAAGCTAAGGAAAGTGCAGCCGACGTGGAAGGATCTGAGAATGTTGTAATGTAAGCTTCAGCTTTTGAACGCACGTTTTGGCGCCAACAATATTCAAAGCGCGCACTTCTATCTTTCGCGCCAAATGAAACTTTTTAATGCTCGAAGAAACGATCAAAAGCAAACATATCGATATTTTCATTTTCTACAGGGAGACCTTCCAAACTGCAAAAGTAACTTTTGAAAAGTTGAAAAATATAAACCAAAATATGGTCACTATGTCAAAACAAGGACAAGACACCGGCAAACTAGAGCAGTAAGTACGACATTTAAACCATGAAACACATATCTTGTTTGTAAGTAAACATAGTAAACAAACAAAAGCAGGGGAAACAAAATGGAGAATAAGGGACWTTAATTTCGAACTAGAAATATAGGAACTTTACGGCATTTTTCAATTTAACAGGGAAAAACAAAAGCTCGAGGAGGAGTTGAGCATGTACAAACGTATGGCTGTACAGCAACGTATGGATAACGCTTATCAAAAGAGTGAGTATTGATGACYTAGTGTGCTATGAGAAGATTGTCCACAGGGTCTAGATTTTATCGTGGTTTTCTCGACGATTTCCATCAAAAACTATGATTCATTTGATTCACTAGAATTTAATCACGGTTGATTTTTGTTTCCAGGACGACGCGCGAGTGTAGTCCGTAAGGACGAGACACAGCAATGGAAGCTTGTTGCTGGAGAGATGCTGGATATCGTGAAAGGCATTAAAAGCGAGGGCAAATATGGTTAGAACATTGTTTTGCCTTTGTTAGTGGACCATACTTCCTCAAAATTATGATGATAATGATATTATGATGATAATGATGACGCACATTCACCTCTAGTCCAGTCCACGACCTCTTAGCTGAACATCCAGTTGCGGAGAAAAGAAGCCAAAAAAACTGGGGCTGTATCACTTCAGTTATTTCATGCAGCTTTTGTGAAAGATTTGAAGTCAATAAAATAMCTTTTTATTCTGTTTCAGATAAAAACGAATTAGAAAGAGAATTGAATAACATACTAATGGCGATGAGCAATCAGAACGATATTATAGAAAAGTGAGGATATTGCAGCTCTTTGTTTAATGCCTTTGGACCTCCGCAAAGAAATCATGTCAGAAGCAACTGACTTGTTTAATTATCCGTTTTAATTTTTTTTCCTGACAGGTTGAAAGTTGAACTGTCAGCAAGTGAGATGGTACGAGAATGCTATGATATTYAAATTTAAAATAATAATAATAATTTATGTAAAATAATGCTTTGTTTTTTTTTTACAGAAAAATAAAAATTTGGAGCAAGATAAACTCAAATTGTACCAAGACAACACAAGTCTACAATCCGACTTGGACGCTAAACATCTAGAAAATAACCAATTTAGGCGGGTAATAAAAGAAATAAAAGCATTTCTAATTTTTCTCTTATTTTTCTCTTTGTTCCTGTCTTCAGRTTTCACTCCTTTTTGATTATGTATACATTTTAATACGATTCACATTTTTTTATATTTTTCCTTTTTTTAAAATCTTTTTTGTTTTTATTCCTCTTCTTTGGTACGACATAAGTATTTAACGCTTTTTCCTTTGAATTTCGTAGCTTATACTTTTTGTCTAACATTGTTTAATTGACGTTATTATGGTACAAGTAGCTTTAATGTAATTTTCAGGTCATCAATCAACTCAAAAACAGAAGGAAACAAGAAGCAGAATTGGCAGCGCAAACCACGCAAAATGAACTGGATATCACTCCTGAAGCKGAAGTCAGGGTGGTAAGACGCAATTTCACCACAAAAAAAACCGCTGTATTTCTTCCCATAAACCCTAAATCGTAGTTAATAGACTTTGATATATTGAAGTTATGAGTTCTGAATGAATATGTTTTAAATTCAATAGTAATGAATCATTCATGGCCTTTGTTATCTGAAAACTAGTTAAATTAAGGTTAAGAATTTGCAGAAATATAAATCACGGTGAAGTGTTTGAAAAGGACAAAAATTTAGTTGTAAACCATGGTAACTTTATTCAATGGAAGCAAGGAGGCGTTATGTCAGCTGAAGAAAATTAATCCCTACACTCCCCGTATTGGACCTATAACTATTGGCCACTTTTTGACATCGTTATGACGGATAAATAATACTTTTTCCAGACTACTCCAAGTATGCAAGAAAACGCGGCCCCCACGGATCTTTTACAAGCTCAATTGAGAGATCAGAAGAACAAGACTTTAAAATTCGAAGCAGTAAGAAATTTAACCTTCATTTCACTTCATCTCAGAGTTAGAGTTAAATAAAATTATCAATGTTTGCACAGCAAAATAAAGAGCTACAACAAAAGGTCCAAGACTACGAGACACAAGCAAAGAAGAGGAGGGTAAGCAGAAACATTTTAAGAATATTCATTCATGGAAGAGAGAAAACAACGAATTTAGACTTTCAAAGCTCAATTAGATATCATTTGATATTTATTAGGAACAAGAAATGAACATTGCACAGAAGGCAATGAAGGAAACCGGGAAGAACGCATGCTCTAACTGCCAAGTCCTCGGCGCGCAGGTCATAAATAGCACAGATGAAATGGACAAACTGAAAGAGAAAATAAGCGAACTTGAAAAAGAACTGATCAGCTTGCGGGACAGAATGAATAATGAAACCAAGGTAAGCCCTCATTGGATGCTGTGTGATTTCTTACTGCACATGTTGATAGGGGGAATCCGTTGGCTCACTTAATGTAATTGAATTTAGTTATAAAATGCTCACTTTCTTAACACATAAATTACAGGACCAACCCGAAACAACAAAGAAGACTCGTAAAGAAACTACTAAAAAAGCCGCATCAAAAATACCAGAAATTGTCACTCCTGCTACCGAGAAAACGGCTCCTGTCAAAGCTACGACGACCAAGACTGCTGCAGTTGCTGGGTCTGGGGCAAGTGCTGCTTCTCAAACAGCTGTAGCTAAAGTACCAGCCAAGGCTGCGGGAAAGCCTAAGTCTGCRAGAAAACCCGCTTCAGTGAAGACATCGCCTTTATCTCCAGTGCCACCTAGCACCCAGGCTCCAGGTGAGACCACTTGCGCACATGGTTTAACTAGGTTTTTTAGATTGAACACAATTTTAACTTTAATCATTATCATTCCACCTTAAGAAGAAGAATCTGAAAATGAGTCGTCTGAGTCAGAAGAAGAAAAAGATACAACCGCACTGAAAACAAAACCAAAGGCGAAGACAAAATCAAAAAGAGCGCGCAAGACAAGCAGTAAAGCAAGCAAAAAAGATAAAACTACGGCTAAAGTTGTCAAACCTGAGGAAACCACCAAGAAAGACATCGAGCACGAGGCTGTTGAGGAAGATAGAGAACAGGAAAAGCCTGAAGACGGCGAAGATAAGAAGAAAAAAGATGAGCCGGKAAAAGAAGTGAAGAAGATCAAAGATGAGGAATTTAACAGRGATGAGAAGGCACCGTATGTCAAAGTTCGTGAGGCAAAACTTATGACACTTTGCGATAAGGTAGGAAGTGTTCTCGTAGGTAGACAAACACCTTAACATGCCCGACTACCAGGCATGATTGGTCACATGGTATCCACAACAACACCAGCTACCCTGATCATTATGCCAATATAACAACATGACTGCYACAATCTTTTATGATATGTATTTCGCCGATATAAGATTTTCTTTTTGCCACAGGGTACTCAAACCAGCTACCATGGTCGATTAGCGACAGTTAACGTAACGCATCGTCGTGAGTCAGTTAGTACGTGGAAAGGTGGAAAAGGCGACAGAAAACACTCCCTTACCGACGCCATCATGGCAATCGCTCCTCCTCCTGTCATCGAACAAGAAATGTCCATGGCAACGAGTACTATTTATGAAGAGGTAAGAACTGATTTAAAATCAGGGGAATATTGGCAATTTGCGCAATTTGCGAAAAAATACTTATAACAGTGAACATTTAGATCTGAAAACTATAACATGTTTTTAAACATGTTAATATCAAAATATTCAACTAAATCTTACTAGGTGGACCGCTTATGTGATGAAATCAGCACCTTTGTGGAGTATGGCTTTGACTTGATTCAGCAATCAGGTATTTCATAGTAAGGGCGATGTTGTTTTGCAAAGTAATGGGTTTACTTTCCTATTCTATGTTTCAGCTGCTACTTTATACAACCAAGCGGAAAGGAATCTTGGTTCAGAGAATGCCAAAGAGCTCGTCAAAGAGGTATTCTTCTCTCCAAAATTCACAAAATGCTTAAAACTGTSATAAAGAATTACATTCGCTTTATGGGGTGAACACATATTTAAAATTGAGCAACAAACTTTCCTCCCCTGAGGAAATCTGCGTTCGACTGGTACGATGTTAGTCCTATTACTTATCGCAAATAAWTGCAATAGATAAGCGAGGTTAATTTGGTTAATATATAAGTATTTTACAACTAGTCATAATGAATATCTCTACAGGGCGATCAAGATATTATTCCCGCTATTGACCGTCGACTAAGTGTAGCCACTCAAGGCGGTGGAGCAGGATCCAGACGACGAAGTTCTATTCTTCAGCTGGATACACGTAGAGGATCGATACGAAACAAAGATGTGCTTTTTCCCGCTGAACTGTTTGGACGTAAACGTGCTTATACGTTACCACAGCTTGACGAAGATGGCGGAGAAAAAACGCAAGGTAATCGCTGTTTTTTATGTCCGAGATTTTCCTCGTGATAACGGTGCACGAGATTGTAGATGATGATGATTGTCATGATGACGTTGATGATAACCAGGCGGGAAGCTAGTAGTTTGAATGACAGCGATAAAAATGGACAGTGTGAGAGATGGTAGCGATACTGATGATGATAATGATGATCATACCAGTCTTTTTTAAACTTATACAGAGGATTCCGCACAAGAAAGATTACAATTTATCGAAGAACAGTTTAAAGAGAACATTACTAATATTGCYCAGAARGCTCTCGACAGTAAGRRTCAAATATATTGTTTTATCAAGGTTGTATCCTTAGCTTTCATTTATCCTTTTCTCACTCTCCTCCTACTTTTAACTTCCTTCCTGTCCCTTTTCAATGTATATAACCTCATTTAATTTTCCCTCAAAATTTTTTAATCATGTATATAACATAAGCTAATACACTTCACAGTTGTAAAAGGAACCGGTGAAGTTTTCACAGTTCAACTAAATCACAAGGTAAAAATCTGCTTTCGAATAGACGTCTGAAATCTGTAAATATCGATAGTCATGTCGGTCATTTTAAAACTAATTCTGGCGTCTTCTCGCCTCAGCTCGGTACCTACGAAAGATTTTACGACTTATGGCGAAAATGTAGACAGGTAAGGAAATGGAAAAAGGAAAAAAAGAAAAGAAATGATAGCAACTTTGTTTACAAAAATGCTTACTTTTTTMGCTTCAACTAGCAACGGCGTCAAAGTTTGAAGGCGGGTCCAGTGGCTGGCAAATCGGTAATTGTTGTTATAATCATTACTATAATCATCGTTATCATCATGTCACTTTCTCTCWAAKTAATCAATTGTTTTTGTTTGCCCACAACAGGCATTACCCTCTGTTTCTTTCGTCGAAYCAGCAAGGTTAGTCTGGTCTCAAGGTGCCGAATTTCTTTCTCATGTGCCGAATTCAATATGAGAAGCACGACGCAACCTAATGAGCTCTTCCTTGAATTCGGAACATGTGAAACACGGTATCTTTAAAAAAAAKAACAACWTTATTAAAGACGTTGTCTATCTACAAGCACRATTAACCGTCTGGTTTTACTTTTAATCATTTTGTAGAAGTCCAAAGTCTACCAGTAGTGTTGAAGAAGACGAAGACAAAATGGATGTCGTGAGTAGATTAAACAAACTTTGATTTTTAACATTTCAAATATTTCTATTTCATGGATTTACTCATTAATTTCACAATCATGAGCGTTTRCGTCTATTTTTCCAGGAACCAGGATCATTGTTCCCTCAAATTGCACCTTCTGTGGTCCATACCAGCACGCATAAAGGAAAAATCATTTCTACGGCTAATCTCTCCAACAAAGGAATTATGATGATCGGATCTTCAACCACGAAAAAACCAACCGCCGAGAAACAACAAGCCAGTACGCAAAGTGCACAGGTTAAYAAGCGCGTTAAACCTTTGACGCGTCAACAGCAAATGGCGAAGCAAAAAGCGTTGTTGGATAAAGTCCTTCATGTGGATTCTAGAATGCAGGATATTCGTAATATTGTAATGGGTGCCGCACAGCCACTTAGGTACAAAAGTGTCATTGTTATGTTTTTTTAAATATTCACATACATGATCACGCTGCTGAATGACAATTGAAATCATCATCATCATCATAATCATCATCATCATTATAGCAATAACGTCATAAGGTGTGCAGGAATGATCTAAATTCTCATGAAAATTTTGCGCAAAAAGACACATTATAGCACTGAGAACATTACTGGCCCAGCTCGTTTAATTAAGGCTTTTCTGCGCAAAGAATGAGAGCTTTTGGAACAATGTTTGCCTACATATCCAGAAAAGAGCTCCAATATAATGTTTGATGCTGTTGCACCAACAATATCAGATCAAAAAACAGTACGATTATGATAACATCATACACATCAATATGAAGAGTGATACTTCATTGTCCTTGCTGTTTTTTCCCCCAAATTAATCAAGAAATTTTTTTTTAGTTTCACTCGTAGAGCGTCTACCTTTTCTAGAGACGGACATGGGAATGCATCAGTTGAATTGCCATTTATTGCCCATGGTATCTCCGGTAATGAAGGGCAGCGACAAGACAAAAAAACCGACCTGCAGAGAAAAATGTCGATGATTGAAGAAGTTGAACAGGTAAGTAAATTAAGAAATGACAGTTTTAGCAACTCTCATATTGAACTGCTTTAATTATTTATTTAAGTCACCATCGAGTACGTGGAATGCGACGCAACCCATTACAAAATACCGCTCAACTAATGATGTTGGGATGGAAGCACCACCACCACGACTTGTCGGGAGAAGAGCAAAAGGGAGACTTCCTTCGTTGTCACTAAACATCAGCAACTTCTTCAAATAATGACGTGACACTAAAAATGGTTTCTACCAGCCAATAACCAATCGAAAGACGACAAAATCTCGAGACTGTAATGGCAACCCCAGATTGACCAATCATAGCATTCACATTTTTATGTAAACCATGTGTGTATGACGTCAGTCACGTTGTTATGGTCACACCATTTTATTGCAAGTTTAGTTTATCGATTGAATACTGGAATACAAAGAGCTTGTTAACAAGTGATTGTGCTATTTTAAAAACATATACAATGGAACAGTACTGTTCAATCTATTCAGAGCGTGCTTATATTGCGAGTATGACATGGTCAGAAATACGATACAATTTATTATTACGATACAGCTATTAAAAATCCAACAACTTTGAGTAATGAACGTGCTTAAAAATGCTGTTGCTGTTGTTGCATTTCGTTTTCTTTTAGAATTGAATAGGTGTATATAATTCGATGGAAAATCTAAAAAATGATCGCAAAATAACAACACTGGTGCTTTTCTCTACTCACTTTTCAACGTTTTTGAATATGCTGTAATGGCGAATGTTTAAAGCTAAAATACGTTCTGTTTACTGAATGTCAGGTATAAGTAAAATCTTTCTAAAGATTAAATGTCTAGGCTAATGTTTCAAAATATTCTATCCTATGGCATATAAAAATATTTCCAACTTGTGTTCAATGAATTTGTCGAGGTAAAACCCTTTCAAATCACGTTTGCGATTACTCAAAAATCTATAAACTATGTTTAGAGTCAACCTTCAAGTTCTTTTCCTCGATTTTTGCCTTCCATCCWCCAATCGTGTGGGGATTGAGTTAAGTCAGGTCGTTAACTCAGACAACACATGATTCAAAGATAACAAAAATCAAGATAAAACTTTGAATTTTTGGCCGTTCAAGAAGGTTTTTGTTTTGGTAAAGTAACACTTTTATAAAAATGTTAGCGTCGTCACGCAGAACGAGAATTACTCTATTGACGACAATAGAATGGGTGCACTGGAGTCTACCTTGTATCTCGACCGCCTGCTTTAATTACGTTTACAGTTAATAAAACAAAAAGGTACGACTTGTACCGTCATTATGTGCTTACTTAGTAATAATAATAATAACTATTTGTCATTCATGATATTCCTCATGAAAATGAAAAAAAGTCTTATAAATAATTGGACGTCGGTTCAATTCTTTGGATGGATCTGTAGAACATGCATCTGAAAAAAAACGGCAGAAAGAGAATAAATAAAAGAATGAATGGATAAGATACAATTAGCAATTACTGCAATAGTAATAATCAATGGGATTACCTTCCTAAAATCACTGAATTCACAGCCACATCGCAACCGCATCGGGTTTCTGCTTTATCGGAGGTGGTCTATGGTCTATTAAACTTCTGTCCCAACCATAACCCTGACGTTCTCCTCTTCGTTCCGCTTCTTCTCTCTCCATTTGTTTCCTTGCAGCCTTCATTCTTCGTTCGTCGAACGARCGTCTCTCTTCTTTGTTTCTACGTATTGGTTTGTTTTCGTCTCTTCTCCTAAGCCTTGGATCTTCATCTGGATACCTAGAAAGGTATTTCCAAAAATTACAAACTGTTAGATTGAAAAACTTTTGTGATTTATAAGTGAAATACGTAATKTTGTCATTATTATCAATTATAATCTGGCAATTAATGGCATTATTAGATTATTGAACAGTTATATTCATATTTATCATGATTGTAATCACTATATCACCTTGGGTCATCACGGCGTCGACGATCATCTCTATGTCCYCCATCACGATGATCTTGTCTTCGTTGTCTCATCATTCGATCGTCCACAGAGTAACGATGCTCTGGACGCCCTTCAGTTGGTGTACTTTCAAGCGTTGGTGCACTTTCCTGGACTTCATTTCTCACCTCTCTTACAACAGGTTCTTGTTGACGCCCGAGGTCCTTCTCGGAACCTGCTGTTGACAATCGATGTCGTTCCATAGGTGTTAACTCCTCGACTGACTTCCAAGTTTTCTCTCGCTTGACTCCGTCGTCGACGTTCTGGTTGTAGTCAATGGTTGGGTCGAATTCCGACGGTTTAACAGCTTTGACTTCTCTTTCCTCCTGATACCGTTGGTAAAGCTCTCTTGGATAGATAACGTCATCAGCGTAGCCATTAGAATAACCGGGCTCTGGTTCTGGTTGTTGTCGTCTTGTGTCGCCAGCATGAAATGACTTTGGTCTTCCGTTATCAACAGGTTTGAAATTTCTATCGTCAAAGACTGAATCCTCCGGAGACAACATCGTGGGCTCAGCTTTTTGGACTGCAACTGTYTTGTCACGAATTACAGCTCTAATTGGCACAAGCTTTCCGCGTGGGACAATCATTGACTGATCTCTTTGTGGAACTGGTTGGAATGCTCCAGTATGCTGATCATCTGGTTCTCCAATGTCTATGATTTGAGCTTGTGACGGACTAACTTCAGTTGCTTTCAGTTTCAGTGCAACAGGCGAAGGACTACGTTCTGGTTCAGCAAGAAGAGGATCAGGAACGCTCTCSGAGACCTCCACCATGACGGGGGATATTTGGTCACCGTCAATTCGGTCAGGTTGCTGCAGTGAGGGTGTTTCTTTAACATCAACCTTCACGGCTATTGGTTCCCCTACCAACACAGTACCTGGTAATGGTTCTACGGTAAATTCATACTCCGASAGCATCCTTCCTCTGATAGGCACACGGCTTACTCCACGCTGCTTACTACGTAAAAGAACTCCAAGTGTGATCATCTCCGGGTAGTTCATCACATCAACGATGAGGTTTGAAGTCTCATTTGGAATAGGCTCAAATTCCATGAACGGTTGTCCGCCGTCAGGGAGAGACTGAGAGAAAACTTGCTCTACTACTTTTATCTTTTCAGGTTCTGGACGTTCTTCGAGTTCCTTAATGCGATCACTCAAATCTTTGATTTTTGTAGTTTTGTCTTCTACTTCGGTGGTCAGCAAGATGACTTCTTTTTCGAGATCACCGACTTCTTTTTGCAAATCTTCATTCTTCTTGTTATCGTTATCTGCGTTCTTCAGAAGTTCCTTCAGACGTCTGATTTCTTCTTCCAGCTCAGCAATACGCTTTCGRAGCTTTTCAATGGTGCGCTGGTCATCTCTCTTATCTCTTTCTAGTTCTGATACCTTCGATCTGTAGGTACGCACTTCCTCCCGCAGTCGTTTCTCGTCACCAGTTCCGTTGTTCAATTTTATCTCCAGCTCGGCAACTTTCTCGGCTGAAGTTCGCAGTTCTTTTTGCAGTTCACTTTTTTCTTTAATCAGAGAGTCTTTCTCGTCTTCTATTTCTTCGTATTTCAGTTTCAAAGATTCATACTTTTGTGGCCATTCCTCGCCATCGATTCCTTGCAGTTCGTGTCTCAATTCCTCAATTTCCTCTTCCTTGTCGTTGATGATTCTCTTCAGCTCTGCTATTTCACTTCGGTGGGTTTCTGGTCGTTGGCTCCTCTCGAGCTCTCTAACTTGAATTCGRAATGTATTAATTTCGATGTTAGCTTCATCGAGTTGCTTCTTGGTTCTACTATGCTTCGTGCGGATGTTTTGCAGCTCATCGTCGACCTCTGTGTACTCTTTGTGAAGTCTGTCTTTGTCGCGTTTGATGAAATCTCGTTCTCGCTCCAAACTATCAAACTGGATCTTCAAGCTATTGTACTGTGTTTTCCATTCATCATCTCCTTTTGAGCGTTTTCTAAGCCTRTCTATTTCTTTCTCATCCTCTTTGGCTTGTCTTTCGAGGTCCTGAATCTTTGCTTTAAGGAGTTTGACRTCCTTTTCGAGTTCTGCGATTTCATCAATTGAAATGTCATCTGTGTTTTTCAATTCTTCGGTTAGGAATTGAACTTCTTCTTCCAATTTCTTGATTTGCTTACGGAGCACWTCGTTTTCATCGGCAAGATCTCCTCCATTTTCGAGTTTTTGCTCCAGTTCTTTGATCCTTTCTTGATAACGGATTTCATCGCGTTTAAGTTGTGCTATAATCATTTCCTTGTCAATGATTTCTTGCTTCAGCGTTTCGCAGCGATCCTCTAGGATTTTGATCTTTTTTGTGAAATCTTCGTACATCAAGTCGTARTTGTCTTTCATCTTATCCAGATCTTCTTGAAGTCGCTTTTTGTCGTTGTTCGCAGCCTCAAGATCTTCTGTCAAGTCAATGATTGGAGCTGATGCAGCTACAGGAGCTTCTTCAACAACGATAACCTCTTCCTGWTGCTTGGCCTTCATCTCTTCCAGCTCCTGCCGAAGTTTTTCATTCTCATCTTCCAGATCATCCACTTTATCAGACATCTTATCATATGCAGCTCTACCTTTCTCTAGCGTGTCATTCAGATTGTCAAGTTCCTCTTCCATCTTCTTAGTTTCATCATCCAATTCTTTAATCTTTCTGTCCTTGTCTCGGAGATCATTTTCGAGATCTCTGATACGTGCTTTTAGTTCTGTGARCTTTTTTGCGCTTTCTTCGCCTCTTTCTTTCTCGATGACGAGTCGATCAGCAAGATCGTCCTTTTCTCGTTTCGCGGTTCTCAGTTCTCGCTCAAGTTCATTGACTTTGTTCTTCTGTTTTCTTTCATTATCCTCGAGGTCTCGCTTTTCTTTTTGTAGCCTTTCTAGCTTTATTTTCAAGTCGCTTACTTCATCAAGATCGCGTTTCAGCCTCGAGATCTCGTCATCCATCAGGTTGAATTTATCACAAAAATCAGAGTTCTCGGCAAGCACTTCATCGTATTTTCTTTTCAATTCTTGGAGTTGCACTACGACATCGTCGCGATCATCCTGAAGACCGTCGAGGTCTTTCAGGCGATCTTCTAATTTATCAATTTCATCCAAGAGTTCTGCTTTCTTATCTTRAAGGTCTTTGTTTTCCTTTGCGAGAATCTCGATTCTTATTCGGAGCTCGTCGTTGTCTTTTTTGAGTTCAAAACGTTCCGCTTGGAGTTTTTCAAGATCTTTGAGTCTTTCCTCTAATCCGTTCAGCTCATAATAAATTTCCTCTTTTTCTTTTTCAAGGGCTCCCTTCTCTCCATCGATTTGATCGTATTTGAGTTTTAAAGACTCTATTTCTCTCAGTAGATTTTCTTCGCCGGTGGCTTTGTCTTGACGGAGTATGTCACACTCTGCTGCTAAAGTCTCGCTCTTCTCAGCATGGACGATGTACTCTTCATGCTTCTGTTTCAGTGCTATYTTGAGGTCACCTACATCTGATTCATGCTGAAGTTTTAGTCTGATTAACTCTTCTTCCTTCAGATCGAGATCGTTTTGAAGATTTTCGCATGTGAGCTCATACTCTTTGATTTTGTCACGCAACGCATCGATGTCTGCATCCGATTTTCCTTGTAGCTCTTTCAACTGCAGCGTAAGACGGTCTATTTCTTCATTAGCATGTTCTTTGACTCTTTCTAGCACCATCACTCTATCACTAAGGACACTATTCTTATCTTTCTCTTCGTCTAATTCTTTCTCCAGGTCTTCCATCTTGCTTAATCGTATTTTCAAAACTCGATTTTCTTCAGTGACTGTTTTGAATGTTATTTCATGCTTCGATACGATACTTTGATAAGAAAATGTTGCGTCTTTCAGTAAAGCCAACTTTTCCTCTGTGGTTTCGCAAGCTCCTTGCAGAGTATTAAGCTTGTCTCGAGTAAGGCGAAGCTCTTTTTCCAAATCGAACAGATTCAATTGCGCTTCTTCAAACTTGGATTTAAAAGCTGTCTGATCGGAATCGATCTCTTCGATATAAACAGTCGAATGTTGTACATTTGTCGTAGTGGTTGAGTCGCGAGAGAGTTCGTGCGTTTCCATGTTAGGGTCGTCGAGGTCTATCAAGACTTGATTTTTGCGGTTTGTATCCATTGTTTCAGATTTTACAAATCTCGGTGAAAATTTTCACTCTTTTGAGAAATGTATCGATGAATTGATGGKGTATTTGTTTTCCCGCCACACGAAGGAAAACAGAAGCTAAAAGGTGGCAAGATAAATACGATTATATGCGAAAAATTGTAAATATAGAATTATTCAATYAAACATAATATTTTGGCAATTATTACCAGTCTCTATTCTGATAAATAACAAACGCGTCAAAATATTCCAAATACTTCGCTTGGAAGCGTCTGCTTAATATCCGCGTTGGCTATCATGGATCGAAATTCAAGGTTGCTATGCTTGTACTAATAAATATCCTCGATTAAAATCAACTATATTAAAGTGTTTGAGTTTTTACAAACAAACTTATGCTAAATAGCCCAGGTTATTAATTATGTGAACAGCTAAGAAAGAGTTCGTTCCAAGATTTTAACATTTTCCACCAAAGGACATTCGAGCGTTTCAATAACTTTTCAATGGTTTTTAACGATTTTTAGACATGTTGTTCTTGCTATATACAGAAGTATTTGGAATGAAATCGAACCTGACTGTTCAAATACATAAAAATAGCACATATAATACGCCTCGGTATTACTATACAAGCTAGTACACAGTTCAGTGCTAAGCAGAAAGATCAACTAGCGATTGTAAACACAAAATACTACTTACAAGAATGTGGMCAGTTCTACGAATAGCTGGTCCCTATCGATGCCAATGAATTAATTGAGGCAAAAATCCACAAAACAAGYGGAACTTGACGAGCAGGGGTCCGTTASCAATATCTCAAGAAACCATTAATAAGTATGCGCTTTGTTCGACTTGAACGCGGCATTTGCATAAATAAAGCGTCAACAACTGGTCACGCCTTGAGTATGGAAAGTGAACCTTTCGGTCACGCGTGGTAGGCACAAACCACAGACAGGCGATGATATTATATTACCCGTGCACAAACACTCATTTTAATCTCAATTTAATTGCAAAGCAAATGCATATTTTTTAACTTGAGATTTTTAAAGCGATGTATTAGGTAGATAAAGGACATTTGAATTGCGGGTTTAGCACTAAATAATCGAACTGTGTGATTCATAAGTCTATACAAAAGAACAAATGAAGGATTACTGCTTGTTTTGTTCCGAAAACAGCATGACAGCGAAGATATGCAATGTTTRTACTTCTCAATTGGAGTTTTAACTGAAAAACATCGAAAAAATTCGTGGCAAATTGCTTGAAGTTACAATTTAATAGCATTATTAAAAGGCTTTAAGTGAATTTCATTTAATTCTTGTTTTAATTCCCGAGAGAGGTGATTAAGCAAGAACATTTTTCGCTGGGAAAGCACTTAATTACATAATACTAAAAATATTTCATTTCGAGAGCATTCTGATTTTTCACTCACAAAATCCCATATATCCCATAATGTTTCTGGAGTAATTGTACCATGTGGAAATAGTTGGTTCTACATACTTGATTAACAATCAGTCTTGCATGGGCAGCATGTGAACTAACGGGTCAGGTATATATTTAGCAGGAATATATTTGAAGGATATAAAGACGATCAAAGGATTTAATGATAATCCTTTAGTGAACACCTTAGTTGGACTTCTCATCACTTTTCTATCATTTCCAGGCGTAATTATTCTWGCAGGCCACCAGTAATAAAATCAATAATTTAGTCGAAACGTTCTCAAGTGAAATTCGATATATTTTTTTCAGATAAAGATTTTATTACGATTTCTGTAATGGTTGAAATTCAGTGCATTTTGCGCGTTTCATTGACAACAGAAAGACGCTCTGATCTAWTTTTTGAATAAATCGTACTTTACAAACTGTGAAGAAAACATTGTGTACATTAAAATTCTTAAGCTGTCAATATTTGTTTACCGGAAGCCATGATGACGATCATGTGAGATAGTAGCACATATTTCGCACTTTTKAGGCRTCATTCTCCCGCAAATTGGAATTGATATATAATGGATAACCTTCCGCTCCGTTTATGGACAAAGGCTAATAGTTTAACATACGTTTAGTACAAATATAACATCGTTTTGTATGCTGTCCATCGTTTGAACGACATCAGAGTTACTAGGGAGGGAGGGGAGATTGCAGGGTTGACCACCATTAATACCATACATCCCTGATATAACAAAGAAGATATGACATTACATATAATATCYGGAATGCATTAATAATCCCTGTAATATTTAATTTTCAACGACACTAGAATATTCAAGTTTAATCCCATATATGTCTTTGGTGTTTATGTTAATTCTTGTAAATTTTTTTCTCCCCTGGAGGTCGCTAATCAGCCATGTAACGTGGTCAGCTATCAAAATACTAAAAGTATCGATGACCTTTCATTAATATCAATCATATTGAGTACATAACGACTCCATGAGCCGTCCAATAATAAATTTCGATGATGACAGCAGGCTTATAGCTTTTTTCTCGATGAGTAACAGTCAGACAGTCTTTTTAGAGTAAATAGACCATAATTACACAAGATTCAAACATCTCGAAAAGCGACAACATAACATTAGTTGGATAAAAAACGAAGCTTGTGAAGCTTTTAACATTTGATGTGGCTAAACAGGGAGCCACTGACCTTCAAGTCAGCGAAACCTTTGAAAAATATCGGTTTCCCTTTGCCACCTTGTAGCTTGTATATAGTATGATTAGGYTTTGTGCATCGTTTTTGATTACAGGAAAAAACATGTCATCTTTGTAAATATACACCTTCAGGTAGAAAATGAGACATAAAACAGACCATGTGTTGAAATATCAGAACCAAAATCAATCGTTTTAAATTGTTTTAATAAAATTAATAGAAAATCAAATAGAAATCTTTTGCCATACTGATAAGTTATCATCMCGAGTTCTTAAAGTTCTTATCTGAGTTGTTGTGATGCCATCGATGTATATTGTCATACCATGCATTCCAATGMCGTGACATCGAGTCACGCTGTGATTTCAACCCAAGAAGACTGTCCATAAACATAGGGGGGTAGAAAGATTGACTTCACTGCACATCACGATATCATTGAGTGATTTTTAGAGCTTTTAAATTAAGAAATAATATTCGTCTTCATACAAATACGATTATTGCTTTAGCGGACGAAACAACCATAATGGGATTCCTGTCTTTTTACGTTACTACAGCAACATCGATAAATATAGAATCGTAATTATAATTGCAACAATCAACAGTTCCTTCAAATACCAGCCCTCGTAWAAAGGTACTACCATGGTAACAGAAAGGCSAAACTCCTAAAGCCTGTTTTAATGACGAACCACCTTAACCAAATGTCGTTACCATGACGACGTTAAAGATGCCAGCCACCTTACCCAAGATTCAACTGGTCTTTGACTTTGTTCGGTAAAAACATAGGCTTTGCGGATTCGATGGATGACTTCGAAATCAAAGAATGCGAGTTATTTTTCTTCTTTGCCAAACGATCTGGCTGCATTTGCTTCATTGCAGTCTGTAAATCAGGTAGTTTGATAGATATTTTGCTGTTTTTAGGTGTCCACGATGTGTTACGTGTCGTAGATTTTCGCACGCCATTAACATCACGTGACTCTACAGGTTGTTGCCATCCTAGGTTGTATTTGTGAGTCAGTCTGTACGTATACAACCACTTTCTAAGAGGTTCAAAGTACTCGAGTAATGCAGAGGCCGTCATTTCGAGATCCCCAGTCAAGCGTGAGAGAATCTGTGGCCAGGGTTCACTTTTCCCCGCTTCTAGCATTTCTCTAAAGGAAAAAAACAAAAACAAATGAAAGGTAAAATTAAAAGATAAATCCAGTTACGTCTTGGCACGAACTCAGTATTTTTTCTTTTTATGATGTTGTGTTTTGTCCAAGTAAAAAAAATAAATAGAAAAAAATAAAGAATTCGCGTCCTTACTTGAACTTCTCTCCAGCTTCTTTAGACTTGAATATAGAGCACTCATGTAATGGTCCTTTGTGTTTGGCAAATCCACATAGTGAACGATGGAACTGGAACTGTAATATTAAACTGACAAAGTACCTGCAACGTACGATGGGTTTTAATGTGATATTTTGATAGGCCTGTTTACATCAAGCAATACATGCAAACACTATAAAAATGTGTATAGATAGGCCATTTTGTAAAAAATACTATATTGAATGAGTCATTGTGCATCAGTCGTGATTTGACGGTTGTTATAGTAACTCACCCTATATATGCTGAATTAGAAGCGATGTGGAATTTCGCACCAGGGTCAAAATCTTTCTCGGTTCTGTTAACCGGAGGTACAAGACCCTGGTAGTGAAGACGTATTTTCCACCATTCAGCATTGAAGTCTGATGGTGCAATCTTTCCCGCCAAAACCTGCCATCTCCATTGGTCAACAAGATATGTGAAAGGCAGTTGAGCGACTCGACGTAAGGCTTGCATTAAGAGGAAGTTTACAGTCGCCGCTGTCAAGATATGGAACAACATGGATCAATCAAAATTTATCATTACTAGTAAAAATGGCGCATAATAAACAGCTGCTCATCTCACCATCACTGCTGTTATAGGAGCTCAACAAATTGACTGATTCGAGGTACTTTGGTGTTTCTACTGATAACGCTATAGTATCACCAATAGCCTCGTGGAAGCCAGGATTAGCACCATCACGATAAGCGAACGGAAGYTGTCGATAYGCAAGGTAGTATTCAACATGACCCATTTCATGATGGGCAATTATTAAATCATTTTGATTTATTTCAGTGCACATCTTTATCCTGAAAGAAAGAAATACTATATCACTATCATATCAGCGATTACTGCCTGATACAAGACACTGTCATTCAACTTACCTTACATCGCCCGGTTTAAACCCCCAAGCAGATGCATGGCATACAATCGATCGATTCTCAGGCTTCGACAAGACAGATTTATCCCAGAATGACTGCGGCATTGGATACAACCCAAGGGACACAAAGAACGACTGCGCAAGCTCAAACATCTTCACAGCTGTGTAGTTCTGCTCCTTGAGGCTGGGAGTGACATCAAGAGGAGAAATTTCAGGAAACGGCGCAACGATATCATAAATATCCGACCAATCCTGAGACCACATGTTTCCAAGAACGTGCGCCTGTATTGGTCCGTCTGGGGATACCTTAGGGTATTTCTTATGTAGCTTAAATCTCACATACGAATGAAGCTCCTCGTATAGCGGCTTCACCGCTGACCAAAGGGATTCTAACGTGGTAGGCAAGTCGTTACCCATTTCGTACACACTGCGCATGAAGTGTCCATAATCACCCCACTTGTGCTCRTGWGCTCCTTTATTTAGTAAATCTACAAGTTGACGAAACTGATCTCTTAATGGCGGTCCTACGGCATCTCTCCATCCAACCCAGGCCCACAGTAATTCATCYTAATCACGTGACTTTGACATTATTGAGATCAGGTCCGGCTCAAGCGGCAAACACTMTTCCACGTTATTTGGCTTTTTTCTGCATGCTTTACCGTTGCTATACGTTGCTGTCATTTTGGATTGTAGTTTCTCTAATGCCTCGATATCCTGGGTTGACTTGGGCTGGGCAGACAGGCTCATTAGCCTTACCTGGCGCGCGAGGTCAAGTGGCAGGTCTACGTGATCTTTCAGAAGTGTCGATGCATTTTCACTTGCCTTCAAAAAGTATTCTATCGAACGAGACGACGCCGCGATAGACAAGTTATTCTTCTCAGGAGTTAAATCCGTGAAATAGTTCCAGGATGCCTCCCCTGCTATGATGCTCAAATCGGAACCTCGTGTTTCTATGTCTCTTAAGAAGTCGACGACAATGGCAGTGTCGTTGGTACGAAACAAAGCCTTTGTACGCGGTAAACACGCGCATCGTCTAACCCCCACAGCAATACAACACACATAGACGAAAAAACTCCTTATATCTATCATTTCAGTAGTAGGTCAAATGGTCGAGGTTTTAAAGACATTTTGATCCGTAAATCTTGATGTAAAACAAAAACATTGTGTTTAACAGGTTGATTGCTACATAATCGCAGAGTGGCTGGTTGGTACCAGTTTATGGCACTCATGTATAATTCATGATTTGTTAGGATGTCAGTTGACACTAGTTCCTTTGCACAACCGGCTTCACGCAACAATAGACTAGCTTGTCTGCTTAAAAAATATTCTAATTTGATAAGATGATTATAACCCATTATTTATAGAACTCTCTTAGAAAATGAACAAGTGAGAATAGAAAGTGGGATGAAAAGTGAAAAMCTGCACTATAGAAGGAAACAATATAACTATTTCTCCAGCAATTTGTTATATTATTAACCATAACAAATGACAAATAACATATGTAAACATATCAATATTGGGATCGCCGCGACATTTCAACAAAGATGCACGGTTCAAAAGATTTTCGCATGTATCAACGCTGATAAAAGTACCTTCATTGAACTTTCTTTCTCAATCTCACTTGATATCGAGGCTTGTTATCATGTTAGCAATCACGTGGTCTGTAAAAACAAATCATTCATTACTTTGTTAAAATCGATTAATGTTCTTAGTTGCCCTCTAAAATTACTATATTAATGGAAATAATTTATAACAAACAAAGGAGAAGCTAGGATATTCTAAAAAACCTTGAGCTCGTCAAACAAAATTTACATTTTTTCACTGTTCTTAACCTACAATCGTTGACAAAATCCTTGGACCATTAAAGCGAATTTCCCCATTTTAAGCAACACCRGCAGACAATTTCATCCCCCCTGACCCCCTAAATGCAATGTTGTCATTGATCGTGTTACCATAGTACACAATCATCCAAAACAAGACCCAACATTGATGAAAGGGCGCTAGGGGGAGAACTGTGCAAAAATAAAGGAGAAAAATGTTAGGCTGGAGACCAATAACAATTCTATGGTCCAAGGTTTTATGGCAACGATTTTTTTTGACAACGTTTTATTCATTTTCAAATGAAATGAATTCTAAGATTTGTAGTATTGCTGATTGAGGAAACAAAATTGTGTAGATCTTTCACCAATATTAACAGGATTACTTAAYCTGACGATTGATTTGACACTTAACTCGATAGTTCACACTCTTGTTATTAAACTAGAGATCGACACTTACGATATGCAATTGAAAATCTCTACTCGTGACCACTTTGCTCCACCAAAGTGAGTTCTTTTACCAATCGACTATAGCAAAACACGTTTTCAACAAGACAATGCTAGATAATTGCCATTTCAAACAGTTATCCAATAAATTGTAACATTAGTTGCAATAAATCTGAAACCCAGAAAAAAACTTTTTTTAACTTGTATTTATCAAAGTGTCCTCATTGAAGAAACTTATATGCCTCAGATATTATTGCATTCTGGGTTGTTGTGACCCGACTCAGGGCAAGCTGATAGACGATAGTGCAGGGCTATTGGCTGACAACTGGTAGCCCGCGGGGCAATGCAAACATAATATACTCAACGGTTGACTGCGACTAGAAACTGCAAACTGTCAACTAAAAACTTTAAAACAAAGTAAATGACAACTTTCCCATTGATTGGAGGAAGGTTACTGCAATTTTTGTACCAATTGCGTTCCATTTAAAMACAGTTGATGCGTTTATCTTGATACAATTTGATAGCGATGACTGTAACTCTGTGTCTCTTCAGTGTTTTAACGGGTAAGACTTATTTACGAGACATAAGTTGATAGTTTTGAATGCACGTTAAAAACTGATGTGAGTTGCTAACTTCTTGTTTTAGGTTTTCTTATTGTTATGAATAGAAGTCTATCACCCGTTACTGCTGGTAAGCGGCATATAAACAATGCAAAACAGTAATAATCCACAATATGCAAGATGCATAAAGTATAACATAAGATTTGGGAGCCGTGCGGTTGGTCAAAATACTGATCATGATAATACGAAGAAGTTACATTGAAGAAACTTATTTCCCAAAGATTATACTAGTAGTTTAGTTCAAATTTTGCAGAATTGAATTGCCAGAGCGGTAACTGAACGTTTACCGCGGTTGCTAATAGTGATGTTTTGACTATACATTACAATATGAAAGCGAGTTTAATCATCACTGTCACGTTGTATCACAACTTATGAACGATTTTGTAAGCCAGTTTTAACAGAATTAAGCAGTAGCTTCAACAGGTTCGAATAATCAACCCTGATATAACAAAATCTATATTCTGWTTTCYCGATGAAGTCTCTAAAGGAATGTGATGTCGACATGCACGCACGCAAGCCAAAACAAAATACAACTAGTGTCTCATATTGAAAAATTATTCCCAAGCATGTCGTTATTTGAGTTATTTTCTCTACATTAGATATTCTATTCCTAAGGCAACATATCTTTCCGTACCTTGAYCTTTGCACAAATATTTGCTCTCTCGAGCAAACAATCTGTGATGCCATGAAACGTGAAATTTGCAATAAAAAGGCTCAAWATCTTCATTAAACGAGTTTCGTGCATCTTTTTTGATATTTGAAATAACAATCAATAGAAAAATTCAGCAAAAGAAGTACAAGAGAGGACATTCTCCGTTTTGTAACTGTCGTGTTAAGTTTGAATTGCGCGCGTCATTATAACGATCACGAACACGGCCCGAGTGAAGTCATGTAAATTTAAAAAAGAGGACGCAAGTAGCATAAATCAGCTAAATATGAAATTGTGTTTTCCACAAGCACGGCGCAATCTCGTCTTTCATTCTKAAAAACAATCCTATAGATTGGTCGGTGGATATGACGCGCCTTATGTAAAATGTCTGTGTTATTATTCCAGGCTTCAACAATTAAACTGGTTTAAGAATTTACATTGTAACGCCATGGCGTAAATTTCCCGATTTAATGATGTGTATTTTTTCTCATTTGTAGCGTGCGACACGGCCCTCGGTATGCAAAGCGGTTGGATTGTAGACTCTGATATAACAGCAACCTCATTCTTGACTCTTGACAATGAACCAGGCAGTGCGCGCCTGAACTCTACAAAGGCCTGGTCACCTGTCAGGCAGGATGTCAGCGAAATACTACAGATTCACCTCGAGACCGAGGCCAATGTATCTGCCATTGGAGTCCAAGGTAACCCTACTGCTGACCAGTGGATAACGAAATTTAGGGTGGAGTACAGTATGGATGGGATGAAGTGGCAAAAATACCCTGAGGTATGTATCATGGTGATGATAACAAATATAATTATACTGAATAAATCATTACCATCACCTTGTCAATCATCATCATTATCATCATCATCATCCAAATTAGATTCTTCTGTAAAAAGTAAAATTCAAAGTCTTTCCTAAGGTCATGAGATTGATTGTTTGTTTAGGTYCTCAATGGGAATACCGACCGGAACACCATTGTACGAGCAACGTTGAGTACGGTTCTTCAGTTGAACTACCTTCGTATTAAGCCTGTAGAATGGGAAAATGCAATAGCTTTACGCCTTGAGATCTATGGCTGCATGAAAGGTGAGATTAATGAAGCATAAAAAGCCATTAATTAACTARTTTAATCCAATTTTTACTTTAACTATTTTAATCTTAAAAGATCTTGCATTGCAATCAGTGTATCATTAATRAATTTTCCATCCATTTATTCATTCATCTTTTTCAAAGTTCCATTTTCTTACGTAAAACGAACCGTTCGCCCGTTAAGTTCGTATTGTATTTTCCGTTGATATAATTTTGACTGCAWTTCTCAGAGAAATACTCTTGCGGGAAACGACCACTATATCAAACTGCTCGACAACAACGAATAATCCAAGGCACCAATGCACAGCCATACACATGGCCATGGCAGGTAGAGGTAACCATCAACAACACAAAACATTGGTGCGGTGCGTCGCTTATCGACCCTCATTGGATAATAACCGCTGGCCACTGCGTACATGTCTACTCCCCTGCCTCTACTGGGACGCGCATTTTGCGGCTGGCGGAATACAACCGCTTGGTTCCTGAAGGCTACGAGAAATACGTTGTACCGGACAAAATCTATCTTCATCCGGGATTTGTCATAGGTGATATCAAATCCCCTGGATATTACGACATAGCCTTGATGCATTTAAAGGAAAGTCTTACATTCACCGATCGCATTCAACCTGTGTGTTTGCCAGATGAGAATACGCGTTTTGATATTGGTACGGTTTGCACGGTATCTGGCTGGGGTAAGACCTCATCAGGGGAAAACGGGACATATGCTAAGACACTGCAACAGCTGCAGGTATGATAATAATAAATACSAACTGATATCAGATACTGATATCAAGCTTTTTTACCTAAAAATACTGAAATAAAAATAAATCCAATCAACAAAATATYACATATGAAATCTTCTGATGGCTGCCTTCAAACAGTCTGCAGATATAAATGATATTGGAAACGTAACATGCAACAAATTCACCAAAACATAAAACCAAATCTTTATTTAAGGTACCATTAGTGTCAAAGGAAGTGTGTAACAGCAATGTCTCCTACAATGGAGTAATTCCTGAACAGTTCTTGTGCGCTGGTTATAAGTCAGGTGGGCGTGACAGTTGCTATGGTGATAGTGGGGGCCCTTTGGTTTGTCAAACTTCGGGAGGGGAATGGATACTACATGGTTTAGTCAGCTGGGGTGAGGAATGTGCGATGCCTAATAAATATGGAGTTTACACAGATGTGAGAAAACAGCTACCATTCATTGAGAGTGTTTTGTATGGTAGGTATCAATTACTTTCATGTTATTAATTAATAATTTCTTATGTACAAAATAGATGGAAACTGACATGTCTTAACACCACAAATATAACTATTATTATAAGGATATCCAAAGTGTGGTGTGAGGTTCCTTCCAGAAGGAGGTCATTCCAGGCAAAAGAGGATTGTAGGTGGACGTGAATCCAAACCCAACTCCTGGCCTTGGCAGGTTGATATACTAACAACTGTCAACAAGACAGAGCACTACTGTGGAGGTTCTTTGCTCAACCCTTCCTGGGTATTGACATCTGCACATTGCTTTCACTTTTTCAAGAACATATCACAGTTTGAGATTAGGTGAGTAGTCAACATCTACAAGATCCAAAATTA